CCGCTGTGTCGGGTACGTCGAGAGCAGTGTGTGTGACGGTGGCCTCGCACAGTGGATTTGCCAGAAGACCGGCGCAGGCGGCCAAAACTCTAGACGCGTTTTGAGCTCCAGAGTCGCTAAATGGGACTCGAACAAGACGTGTGACCCCACCAATGGATTGCTCTGCGAACGAGGAATCCATTGGTGGGGTCACAAGCTCGGTTCGAGTTTCATTTAGCGACTCTGGAGCTCAAAACGCGTGTACAGTTTTGGCCGCCTGCGCCGGTCTTCTGGCAAATCCACTGTGCCTCGGCCTCCTCCAGGACACCGACGCCTTCCTGGAGTCCCTCTCCGATCGGCATGTTCCTTCCTTCCCTCGAGGGCCGCGCCAGGGTTAGGGCTGTCGGCAACCACCCCTGGCGATCCAAGCGCCATAGGTCCGGTTGCATGACGAGGCTATGGCTGTACCCATGGCGTGTCCGCCACTGCCACGGGGGTGCTAAATAGTGTAGGTCCGGTGCGGCTTACCATTCATTACGCCTCATAGACGGACGACCAGCCGTGAGTACCTGGCGAGGCGGTTCGGCCCGCTGTCTGGACTGTCTGGGACGCTCTGGCCGTGGCTCTCAAATCCAGCATTGCCTGCGCTCTGCGTAGCTCTGCGGCGCTCCGCGCTGTGGATGGTCTGATAAGGCCCGTTATCGTCCTACACTGTTAAACTGACCTGGCCAGGTGGAGTCCTGCGACGCTCCCAGTGTGTCCTTTTCAATTTTGTTGTTTTTTTTTTGTTTGTTTTTTAATCAAATTAAAACGGGGCACTTGGAAGACCTGATGCATGTCGACGACTTTCCATTTTACGGCAAAACGTGTGGTCAGTACCCTTTTCAAGGGAAACAAATCCGGAAGCGAAAAAGAAAAATGAAAAACGCGAGTTGAGCCGCACGACGATATTGACGTCAAAAGGCAAGACGCCTCGGCAATTAGAGTGAGAGAGACAGACTTATTTGAGTGGCAGGCACGATGTCAATGATGTCATAGGGCATCTCTGTCGGTGTATGTCTGCGCGCGCCTGCCTGTCTGCCGGCTTCTACGTCCGATGGGAGAAATCGCACGGTGCACATGGGGGAAAAAATCGAGGTTACCGAACGAACGGTCATGGGACCTCTCTGTGAGTTCCCTGTCCCTGCGACAGAGTTGGCGAAGACTGTGTGTCCGCCCCCCTCCTCTTTCTCTTTGTATCTGTGTGTGTGTCGTCTAGGCATGTGCTGTCTGGCCGCATAGTCTCATGGCCCGGGTCGTCTAGGGAACTACGCCGAGACGCCCGACGCGTGACTACACTGTCAGTGACGTGGCTTCGTTAAATTACTGTCATCCTGGAACTACCCCAGGCACGCACCACACAAGAACAAACGCTCCGGGTACTCAATCAGAAGAGTGTCACACTGTTGAGTCTGAGTAGTTATGATCAGAGACGGTTGATTGTCTCACATGCCCCAGTGAGTCACAATACATTGAGGTACATCTCGAGAGAGAGAAAGTAGTCCTGTGACAGTCCTTCAGCCAGAAGGAGTCCATTACCTCATAGGCACGAGTCAGTCGAAATGGGCGGATTGATGTGGCAAACGCGAGAGAGGGCAGAATCGTCGAGAGTAGCCCTGCGACTGAAAAGTGTGACGGAAAATTTTCCGACTTTGGCCTTCCTCGCGGCGCGTGCCAAACCAGTGGCGCCGGCTGCAGGAGAAACTGCGACCCATTGGACGAGTCTTTGGCGGGAAAACCAAAAACAAACAACAGTCATCCGACTGGCCTGGCGGGCAACGTCGCCGCACTACGGTGCAACAGAGGGACAAAAACTTTCAATCTCGGTTTTGGCGCGTAAACGCCGCCAATCTTTTTGTTTGTTTTGACGACTGCGTGGGAGCCTAGCGGAGGGGCCGACGGTGCCGGCCTTGCCGATGACGAAGTCCCGATGGCCCGATGTCCATCCGCCTGCCAATAGCGCCCGAAATAAGTGTTGCCAGTCATGAGCCGCGCCCGAAATAGACGAGCATCGCCAGTTAATTGCGAACCCCCGAAAAAAAAAAAACTAAACAGTAGTTTTTTTTTTTAGAGTCTAATTGAGGGGGAAAAAGATTACTAGCCGAGCAGAGGCCGCCAGGTCGTGAATGGACGTACAAACTGGATTGATCCTTCTAGGTTTTCTAGATTCACATTTAATAAACCTGAAAATAAATAATGCTAGAGCGGTCTCATCGGTCTGCGAAGCAACACTCGACACACGCGCGCGCGCTCGGACACACACACACACACACACACACACACGACACGAGCGCGCACACAAACACTTTTGTTTAAAGTAAGCAAGCCACGGCGCGTCCGAGAGAGACTAAAAGAGACAATAAAGACTCGGCATTCCTGACCGGAGAAATGTGGTGTGGGTACACTGGGTACCCACCCGGCCTGTCGGCCCCTTCCAAAAAAATTTGAAACGCGATATTTTGCGAACATTTATGGGAAACGCAGCGGCTCGTTTCGGCTTGGTGTCAGGCAGACTCGAACAGTCGGAGACACCCTTCCGCAGATCTAGACGGAGAATGGGAGAAGCGCTTCAGCTTTCCGAAAGTGTACTCGCACTGCGCTGCACCATGGTTGCACTGATCTGCATTCCTTCGGGTCGAATCGGGGTGAAAGTCGAATGCATTTACCGACCCGGAAATCTCTCACGGGGAATCTAAGCCACCTTCCCTTTACCTTCTGCTTCACATTCCCTCAACCCCCACTTCTCCCACTTCATGCCAACTTAACCTCCTTCTTCATTTCCTTTACCTGCCCAGCCTCGAAGTCAAATATTGACCTCGATAATGCTCAACGGACTGAGGAAACAAAATGTGTTTGCCTTGCAACCCATCTTTCCAGACCGAAAAAACATACACTTTCAAGGTCCCTTAAGTCAGTAACTGCTTGGCATAACTTATCTGTTTAGCAAATGAGGCGTTGCGCATTGGGCCAGAAGACCGGTGGAGGCGGTCGAAACTCTGGACGCGTTTTGAGCTCTAGACTTGCTAATCAGGACTCAAACCGACCCCGTGACCCCACCACTGGATTCCTCGTTCGGAGAGCAATCCATTGGTGGGGTCACACGTACAGTTCGAGTCTCATTGAGCGACTCTGGAGTTCAAAACGCGTCCAGAGTTTTGGCCGCCTGCGCTGGTCTTCTGGCCCACTGTACGAGGTGACAGCACCAGCGACTCTGCCTCCAAAAGTCCGCAAAGAACGCGTCGTTCCGCCCCTTGCTGTCTAGAAAGTCAACCTGGACATGGAGCTCGTGGCGATGACGAAACATCCTTTCCGAGTTGCCGGGCAATGTGGAACGCTTTTGAGTCGTTTGTAGGCTTTCAAAGTTTGGCCTTGAGCTGGCTGGAATGTTGCCCGGCCACGCGGCCACACCCTCCGACGAGTCTCCGGCGGGGATCTCGACCTGCACCACTGAGGAATTCGGTGCCTTCGGTAGATCGCAGTGTAGTCCAGGAAGGCGCCGTGGACAGGCCAGCGACCGACCTCGGCCGTGAAGGAGGCCTGGAGCCGCCTGGAGCCGCCTGGAGCCGCCTGCGCAGCCCAGCCCGCCCTGTCCAGGGCTCATTGCGTCAGATACACTGCGAGTGGGAGACTCGCAACACATGCGTACGCACATTCCCCCCACCCTTTCCTCACACACACACACACACACACACACACACACACACATACCAACACACATACACACACGAACGCCACATTCACAAGACACGCACTAACAAGCACGATATGCAGCGATGTAACTAAATGATAAATGAAAGTGGTCGCAGGGCACCCATTTCCGGAACACAAGGAAGCTGATCAGGACCCTTTGGCTTGCTACTGAAATTGGCTGGCCAGTGCAGACGGGCTGGCGGACGAGCTGACGGACTAGCTGGAAATGAGCTGATGGACGAGGTGACGGACAAGCTGACGGACGAGCTGACGAACTAGCTGAAAATGAGCTGACGGACGAGGTGACGGGACAAGCTGCCGGACGAGCCAGGTGACCGCGCTTAATTTTTCTTCCCAGCTGTCCTTCGTGTCAGCAGCGGTCTCGCTGTTATGAAACGGTACACTGCGAGTGCACATCAAAGGTACTACACCGCGGTGGCCTCCCCGCACTTCAGGATCCCACGAGGCAGCCTTGCACACACACACACACACACACACACAGTCAAACAGACACGCAACTGTTTTGCAAAGCCTATTTACAGTGTGGCCACACACTGGCAATCAATTGTCCGCTCTCATTGGCGCCAGCGCAACGGGTGGCCTCTCCTTTAATTTATTGGCTGGAGGGAGTTATGGGCACCGTGATTGGAGTCGATAGGTCGATCTTCACCCGTTTTATTTCGGCATTTAAGCCTGGTTTTGCTCAAATTACCAATAGGGAAGCTCTTTAGGAGACCGGTGCAGGCGGCCTAGACTATCTAGATGCATTTTGAGCTCCAGAGGACCACCTCCACCAGTATTTTGGCCCACGGTGCTGCATGCTTGGATGCTACTGCCATGAAGTTTTCATAACCATCTAGGTTGTTATTTATTCTCCTAAAGGAAGCACTTTAAAAAACAATATTTCCACGAATCGCTGTTGCAACAGACGCAACCGAGAGCAAAAAGGGCCGCTGTGCTTGATGGCGATGAGACACGCCACATGGCGACGACGCGACGCCGCACTTTCACTGTGCGGGGACTTTAATTGCCCAACAAAAACAAAGAAAAAATCCGTTTATCTTTAGAGCGTCTGCTTTGATGAGTGCAATAGGTGGGCGGGAAGCTCCAGGAAGAATGTAGGAATACTAGAGAGTCAAAAGTCTGACAGAAACAAAACGAACGTCCAATTCAAACGAGATGGCAGTCCTTTGATTGCAGTCGTTGAACTCTGATGAATCGAAGGAGGGAAAAGTGTTGGCCGTCTGCAAGGTGTTTTGGTTGTGCTAACTTGCGTTGTCGTTGTGTTCCAGATGCCCCCGCTAGTGGTGCGCTCGTGGGCGTGTACGTTGGCGTGCGTGGCGCTCCTAGGCTGCTTCTTGAGCTCGCCAGCCCCGTGCTCGGCCATGGTGCTGGGGCACTACGTGGGGCACGTAGCCCACCACCCGCTGTCCAAACGCTCCTTCTTCGACATCCAGTGCAAGGGCGTCTACGACAAGAGCATCTTCGCGAGGCTCGACCGCATCTGCGAGGACTGCTACAACCTCTTCAGAGAACCGCAGCTGCACTCACTATGCAGGTAAACAAGTCTTGTCCGAGAAAGGGCTCCAATTAGACGTTTTTCTTCTAGGCGTTTTTCATTGAGAGACATCTCTAGCAACTTGTTTGCCAATCGTAGTTAGTTTTCCAGCATGAACTGTCAGGGTAGTTTTGGATGTTAAGTTATTGTTTTTACAGTAATCACTTGTTTTCCAGGAAAGGCTGCTTCACGACAGACTACTTCAAAGGCTGCCTGGATGCGCTGCTACTTCAGGATGAGATGGAGGACATACAATCCTGGATAAAACAGTTACACGGGGCGGAACCAGGGGTTTAGGTATTTTTTAATTTTCATTTTATTTTTTGTTCTTCCTGTTTCTCTCTGATATTTTCCTTTCTTCAACCTTCCTTCCTGTGACTTCGTCTTATTTTACCGAAGACATACTTTTTTTTGTCTTTTCTCATCATTTGTTTTCTGCATTATTTCGTTTTTTGGTTTTGTTTCTTTAATTTTTTTCACAATTTTCGACATTTTTCTCAAACCATTATTTTTGTATTCTTTTATCTGGGGAAAACTTTTTGAATCCCTTTAACGGATACTTTGGTTTTTTGACAGTGTGATTGAATGCTGTTGTAAAGCGGTGCTCTTTGACTTTTTTTGAAAAGATGCTCCATTTGAACATTTTGCCCTTTAGGAGTTTTTGAATTTTCGCAGGAACCTGCATCTCCTTTCCCTCTGCCTTCTCCTTTTTTCGAGGAAACTAACAGCTAATTATTTTTGTGAGGACTATCCTGCTATGCTGCGCGTCAGCATACCACGATAGACCAAATGCACGAAAACGAGAATAAGTTCAGATCCATAAATTAAATCCTTCTTTCTTTATGATATTTTTTTAAATTTGTCTCAAACACTTTTTGGTACTCTGCTGAACGACACTTATTCTCTTTTTCTGCGATTTTGATGGATTCAACGCCTTGACATGGTTGTAGCAAGTGTTGCATTTTTGTTTCAGGGACGAGTGCTACAGTACCGAATACTTCAAAGGGTGCCTAGAGGCTCTCATGTTGACGGAGGAGGAGGCCAGACTCGATGGGATGATTGAATATCTGAGCGGACGGGCCTCTAGCGGCCTCGCTTTCAAGTCAAGAGTAGTACCAGTAGCAAGCTAACCTATCCCCACCACGCCCACCCCGCTATGACGCTATGACACCCTACAAACTTATTCTAGTCCTCAAGATGGTGAACAAAATGCGACTCAATTGGGCTCACCCAGTGTATTTTATTTAAATTATTAATTATTATAGTTATTATTAGTATTATATCATAAAATGTTTATAAGATTGTTAAGGTCTTGCGTACAAACTAACTAGTGCTGCATTTGTGAACAACAAATGAATCATCCCTACCTTTATCTTGCCGAGCTTATGCAAAGCTATTTAAGCCTTCCTGCAACCTCCCGATCCCTCTGACTCATGTTACTCGCAGCGAAAGTTGAAATTTTGTTTATGTAAAATAGGATTGTGTGAATGTATCAGTGAATCGTCCACCAACAGCTCTTCGAGAGCCAAATGTAATGTCTAAATTAAGGTTCGAGTTTGGTTTAAGGGTTTGTTTGAATGGCGGTCCGTATGGAATGTATGCAAAAGTGTAAATTTTTTCAACAGTTTTCTAATGTGTTTTAGTCGCTTCAATACTGATCATAATGTTAGTAAACATCTGAACCGAATTACGTGTGCGTTAAGTGGTTACTGTACCTGTATACGTTTCAGCTATAGTCTTGTAAACTAATCTAAGAAAATGGTTTATTTTTAATAATAGAGGGCGTCAGGAATTTCGCTTGGAGGTCCCTGCTTCCTCGATGAATGAATAGTTTCAACTTCAGCAGTGACTGTCAGCTGGAAGAGGTGCTATTTAGAGAAAGAGCTATGTTGCACAGCAACACCACTCTTTTTACTACAAAATAGCAAAATCTATAGTCACAACAGTAGTCCACTACTATAGTAGCGATGTAACATCAAACCTTAAGCTTCCAGCTTTGATATAAAAAATTCAGTTTCGTTCTAGTAACAATGCTATGGGCTCATTTGGTACTTATTTGACAGCCTCACACTTAACAACCATGTTTTGTTGTTGTTATTTTATTATTGCATTTTTATATGATTGTAAATTAGTGTCCTTCTGGTCTTTTATGAGCTAAAATGTACAGGGCTGGTGGAATATTTAACCTCATCTAAAAATATTTCGAGAACGATCTAGTTCAACAACCATTACAGACCTGATGAAGCTTATAAAATGGTGAAAGTTAAAACGACCCGCCTTAGAATCCTAATCGCCTTTACTTTGTGCAATGGCAAAGCTAGGATTGATTTCTTAATTGCAAAATTTGACTCGCGGTAAAACAAGTCACTTTCACATTCTTTTATTTAGCCCACGGCGAAACAAAAAAAAAAATTTATAACGTTTATTCGCCGAGAAGGAAAGTGCGGCACACTTATTCTACCAGCTCTGTTCCCTGGGAAAGTAAGTTTCCTTCGAGTTTGGCCGTGTGGCTGTGGCCGAGCCGAAGGAAATGCCCAACGGACGGTCACGCTCAGTATTACAAAACAATCTCAATAAATCGGATTAAGTTAAAAGCATCGTGTGCTTTCTTTTTACTGTGTGTAGTGAATGTAAGATGTGGGTGGGATAAACTGTTGTAAGTCTATGAGCATTCCAATCTCTGTCCCACCCGTAGCAGTTCCTTTTATTTCATCATGTTTAAGTGACCAAAGAGCTAAGCCGACAATAATATAAAGCAGTTTTTTCTAATAAACAGTCATGTTTTTGTTTTCACACCGGATCGGCCTCCAAACACACCCGCTCATCACACTGCGGACAAGGTGCTAATGGCTGGGTGCGCTAGGTTGCGCGCCCGGCGGGGTAGGCCGCCCTTCGCGCCGCCGGGCCCAGCGGGACCGCCTACCCCACAGGCGCCGACAGGCGCCGACAGGCGCTCACTCAGAGACTGTCCTAAACTTTGGGACCCGAAGACACCGTCACCGTCGCCAGTGTCAAAAGTGTTGCCAACCTAAGCCTGCCTAATAGGTCATACCTGAGGTCGGCAACCCTTTCGACACTGATGCATCGTGAGAAAATCTGTCTTTTTACGGGGCAAAACTACCCCGAGACTGTGGCGTGACACAGCAGGGAAGTACGGGAAGTCCCCCGAGTGGCACATGGCCACACGCAGCGCGCGGCGAGGCGAGGCGAGGCAAGGCGCACACAAATCACCAACGAATCGGTCGCGACAGGCGACGCGACGCCATGGCGACTCACAAGCAGAACGGCACATTAACTCGAAGTGAGCTGCGCGCCGCGCACTGCGCAGTACGGCCTGGCCTGGCGGGCCGGCATGGCCTGCAATCAATTGATCAGGTCCAGCAGCCTGGCTGCCAGCCTGGCTGCCTTCTGGCCGCTCTGGCGTCAACGAGGCCGCTTCACCAGACCACGCCAGACCAGGCCAGACCACGCCAGACCCGGCAAAGAGACTCTCAAGCTCACTGAGAGAACAATCGATTATGACAAATTCAAATTTGCACCAGGGCTTTCTAAGTTCTAGGTTCTTTGACATGGCGCTTGGGAAACGAATTGATGATAAACGGATAGAAATCTTTAAGTTATTAGCACGTAATAATTATTAGAAGGAGATTGGGCTTTTCCAAGTTCTGACTAAACTCTAACTTATAACGACACATTATGGAGTAACAGTTTGCAGACGAAACACAGACATATGCCATTTGCATGTTGTAGTAGGTCAGAGGACAAAAATGCCATCACCAGCACCAACACAACAAGAGGCTTTAATGACGTGACACTCTACACTCACCCAGGCCAGAAAAGTAGCAGCTTCAGCAGCGTTAGAGTAGCGACAATGATGCTGGCAAGGTCTTGATCTGGAACATAAATAGCGTTGTTAAAGAGGCTGCACCAGGCTGCACTCAACTCAGTTCATGAGAAGCCAGTGCATTGATATGAAGAACGGAAAACTGGCTAGAGTATTGCGGTAAAAAATACCTCGGTATGAAATTTTAATGACAGACACAAACAAGGTCAGAGCGAGAAGCATGAGTCTGGGTACCCACGTAAACTTACTAGTTACTGAAAATTCCCTTTCACGACAAGTTGAACACAAGTTCTGCACAGCATCCACACAAAACGTCTGAAGAGAAAGACCCGGTACTTATCTTTACTTGATAAACAAGACAAACAACTCTTCAAGAATGTCTGCTTTACATTGTTTTTGGTTGAATGCCCTTTATTTTTGAAGAGTACTGTACTCCTATCAATGAGACATTGCACTGGTCAACTCCCGCTTTTCGAAAGAAAATAAAGACAATTTGTTGGCAATTGAGTTGACTTGGATGGTGAAAAGCGCAGTTTCTAACCGGGAACCGGCGCATATTTTCCTTCATTTAAATTCCCTTTTCATCTTAACAAGAAAACAGCAAACGTTTGCAGCCGCTAGTTGTTATCTAACCAAACCGAGCGAACCAAATTTAATTTCTACTTACACGGGTTGAAATCCCTTTAAATGGAGAAAGCGCGAGGCACCGGGGTGAGAAGGGAACATGAAAGGCTTGGCAAGACACGCAACAAACTGGGAAAATGGGAAACAGTCGGAGAAAAGATATGTGGAGCAGACGACAGGATGACATTGGTGTTTACAAATATACTTCGCTCTTCCACCGCCAGATGGCGCACGCTAGAGTTCGAACTGGCGATTTCGACAAGGCGCACCACGTGAAAGAGAGAGAGGAGTAGAGAGAGAGAAAGAGATAGGGCGCATAAGGTACACGTCAAATTCATGTTATGAATGAATTTAGGCTACCGGCAGGCCCTAAATCCCGGATTGAATTCTTGTGATTGAATTCTGGAAGGAGCTACCTTATTTTAAAACCAGATTACACCACAATGGGTGAGTAGTTTCAGAAGTACTTACGTCATAGTGTGTCTGTCAACAACGGTGATGTCTTGCAATAATGTCAAACTTGACGCCAATTTGTGTTATTTATTCTATTGCATTATGCGGGAGTGCTCAAATCACTTAAACCGGCTTAAAATTCTTCTAGCCACATAATGTATGTGTTGGAATATTTTGTTTGGAAAGGTTATCTACCTTAGACTGCACCCATGTAACCCTTATGCTATCAATATTTTCCATCATTATTTTGCCTTTTAAAGAAATACATTGTAAACATTGTTACTTACAGTTTGCCTACTCTTACTGTATGGCTTTGGACATGCGATTGCTCGGCACATGATGAGCATATGACTCACCACCCCATATCGCCCTTATTTGTTTTTGATTTGATTGAACTTTCTGTTCTAGTGTCAGACCCCTATTTCACTGTGTATCTATGTTCCAGAAACTGCTTTAATTTTTGTAGGATGTATCACATGTAATACAAATGCAAATTTTTTTTTCCAGGTGGTCTACTAAGTTATTTCAGAAATTTGTTGGGGAGCCGGGAGATGAGAATCCTCATTTTAGGTTTAGATGGAGCAGGAAAGACTACTATATTATACAAGTAAGAACTAAAATCCATTGCATTATAAATTATGCTGCTTACATTTCTCTTCCATCTACTTCCAATCCTTTTACAGATTACAAGTGGGTGAGGTAGTTACTACAATTCCGACAATCGGTTTTAATGTGGAGCAGGTGACATACAAAAACCTCAAATTCCAAGTATGGGATTTAGGTGGACAAACAAGTATAAGGTATGTTTTGAAAATAATGGAATACATCATCAAGCTGTAAGTTACCTATATCGGACTAATTTGTGGTAACACTTGACTTGCAGACCATATTGGCGTTGCTATTATTCCAACACAGATGCTATTATTTATGTTGTGGACTCAGCTGATCGCGACCGAATAGGTATATCCAAAGATGAACTCCTAGCTATGCTCAGAGTAAGTAATTTACCTTTCAAAAAATTTTAGGTTCATCTCAAATGGTCTATTTGCACACAAAAATTTTGATTTTACCTACTTCTTAATTTTTCAGGAAGAAGAACTTCAAGGAGCAATCCTGGTGGTTCTTGCCAACAAACAAGACATGGAGGGCTGCCTAAGCGTAGCGGAAGTTCATCAAGCCCTTGGCCTAGAAGCTCTAAAAAACCGTACTTTCCAGATATTCAAGACATCTGCTACCAAAGGTGAGGGGCTAGATTCAGCAATGGATTGGCTATCCAATGCTCTTCAAAACCGTAAATAATTTTAATGGTCAAAAGCCTTCTGCACTAAGTTCCTTAAGACTGGAAATACCTATCAAGTGAGTCTATTTCTCACTAAACTGTACCAACCAATATTTTTTGACTCTATTGAGACCTGTTTTTCTATAACTACCAAATTTCTTTCAATGTACTTTGGTGTTATTCTTGTGTTGGTCTATAGAAGTTAATCAAAGTGATTGTAGTTTGGTAAGCTCTGTTGACTAGCAAATGTGAATGTATTAATTTTACACCTATCAACTTTTCTTCAGTTAAACTAGAATTCACTAATTTAAAAGTCTGTCTTGTTTTCTGGTTGCCAGAAATACCTAAGTGCATTTAGTGCAGCAAATGGTGCATTTTTATTTCTATGCTCAAGTTAAACATTTTATTTTGGGATAAATCGGGAGCTGAAACTGTAATCTACCAGTATATGTCAAACTGGTTGGGACTTTGTGCAAATATCTAAAAGGAATGTGTGTGCTGGAAGTTTTAAGGAAACTTGAATTAAGAAACAAATGAATTCCAAAGTTAAAGATGTTACCCAGTTTTTATCATTGCTGTAAATCTATCTGAGCTGCTTACTATTATGAGGTACCCTGATGAATTGCACTTCAAAATTATGGAACTTTTCTCAAGATTCGCCTCTTAATTGATTTGTTTTGAAGTTGTGGTATATGTGCTCCTTGTGAGAGACTAAAACCTGTTCTGCAGCGGTCTTACTGTCTCATTGACTTTGTTGTAAATATTTGAGTTTAATTTATCAAAATATACTGAGTGCCTTTTGTACATTCAGAATTTTAATGTATTCACTTCATTGTTACAATTTAAAAAATATCTAAGTCATCCTATTGTACAAACTCGACTCTCAAAATACCAAGAACAAATCTCAGTTTGTCGCTGACAGGTAATGAATCTGGTACTCGTGGAGTACTCTGGTATTATGCAAACCCACTGAGATCTGTTGACACGATTCGGTGAAATTGTTGTTTCTTTTGAATTCTTATTCAACCTTCTTTACTGGCAAGAGTATCTGAGAACACTGTTTGATGGATCGTTTATCATAGAGCTTGTGAGTTATATTTGTCTTCTATGCTTGGAAGGGGATGCGGGAAAAATTTGAAGAGCCTAGGTAAATTTTGAATCTTTTCTTTCCCTCTCTTCAATTTTCTATGGTACTAGGTTCATAGCTGTTTGTTTGGACTGTACATGTATACAGCTTTCTTTCACAATGCAGAGCTGATCATTTTGCTATGGGTTATGGAATAGACTTCTCTTTTTAGCATATCAGTTGCCTTCTCTTTGTGTTCTTGAAATATGTAAGGAAGCAGTTTCTAATCCTCACAGTCCAATGTTGTCAATGATATCTTAAACTGAGAGTGAATCATAAATACAGAATAATATTCTACAGTATGAAATGCTGTAGAATTCATGTGGTTTGTTCAATAATCTAATTTGTATGGAAAATAAATTCAAGATGAAAACATAAATATAATAGCTTTATTCAACAGATCAAATGCAGGTACTTTTTGCACTCGCAAGTACGAAGTGGAAAGAATGCAAGAAGGGACAAGGTAATAGCTACCATAACTAAATGACAAAGGCCAGACCTGTTGAAACCAGTCATGTTATTCCATTTGTCATTCTTCCATTCCATAAAATTCATAAAATCTGATAACAATTTAACAAAACATGGCATGTACACAAAAATATACAAACTCATTTAGAATTTTTCCTCAATGGTTACTGTCATAACTTCACTTCAAAATTAATGGAAGAGGTTGCATACACTACTAAATAAATACGAACTGTCAACAGCTTGGCTTTGAGACTAAAGACAGTTGATGTAAAATGAAACAAAAAGCCCAAGAGTTTTAAAATCTGAGTGGGGTAACAGGACAGCGTAGGTTTGCTTGATACAATGAGTTATGTAATCACAGTGTCTTTTTGTCATACACATTTTTCAGGGCTTGTTCAAAAATTTACCTGGCACTGCATTACTACCTATGAAAAATCTACATTCATCCTACAATACTACACTTCTCACATGATATACTTATTTCTATATTACAAAGGCATTTTAAATAATGTCCAATGTTGGTAGGACGGAAAGATCTGCGGTGACTTGATTTCTATTGTTAGTGCATATCTGACACAAGTCCAAATATAAGCTTTACTGAACTAATTACTAGCCAGATGCAGTCTAGATCTCAACTCAAGGAAAACATATGGCATCAACATTTACTTCTTCAGTGCAGTTTCCTCAAGAAGTTTTGTTTTACATAGTGACACTACATTAACACACAGATGACCAAAAGGACTGTCCATATCTGGCTTTGATTAGGCAGTTCCTTTAATTGATTCTTTGGTACACCACTGACATAAGTAATGCTGACGTTTGCAGAATGATGCAATTACAATGTAATCCAAGCTACTGCCTTTGTATCAAACATCCCAAATAAACATTTCATGTTTCTATCTTTAAATTGATTTTCAATAACATCAACTATCTGAGAATACTGTACATCAATTCAACAATAACTTGAAAACGAAAAAAAATATAAAAATATACACAGGCTATCAGTAAATAATACATTCATATTACATAGAGTATTTAACAAAATAATCAAAACTATCTGCTCAATAGCTACCATTTTCGAGTCAAAGTTAAAACACAATCTCTAAAAATACATAGTACAATACCCACAGATTGCGCAAAATGACTGAGATTTTTGATTGATAATACTTTAAGGGGGCTTAAATAGATGATATCCTCCAAGTTCAAAGCTGGAAAAACTAGCTGCAAGAAATTGTTTTCATTTGCAGTTGCTACTCTAGAAATGAAAACACTTCAAAATGAGCTGTGTTTTTCTAAGTCAGCTTTGCATGCCAAACGGCTGCAACAGAAGGCATCCCAAAATAAAGTTATTTTACACAATAATAATTCACAGCCACCCATTCCACGGTCCATGCAGCAAGGCTGCTTTCGGCGGCTTTCATCAGCTGCCAGAAAGCCTGCCCCCGCCACGGTGGTACAACATTTGTTTGAAAACACAGCGGTCGGTCCAACACACTCATCCGAGCGTCGCTGGATTTGGCGGGCAACGCAACGCCCGCTTGGGGCCGCGTCCCCTTATCAACGCTCGAGCCAGCAGGGCCAGCAGGGGCGAAAGTAGTCACGCTCTTGCGGTGTTCGAACCTCCATCGCGAGCTCAGCCGGGAGCAACCACAACGACGAGTGTTCTGGAACCAGCCTCGCCCTCCACAGCGAGGGTTTGCGAGACGCGCCTACACTGGCCTACACGGCGGTGCTGTGGGTCTGGATGCGCACCTTCTTGACGCTGCCGTTGCGGCTGAGCGTGGGGCTGGTGCCGCTGAAGCCGGGGTTCTGGATGCCCATGCCGTTGTCGGCGGGCCGCGGCCGCGGCTTCTTGAGCGACGACCTCAGCGGGCTGCGCGTCACCGAGACCCCCGACACGGAGCCCACCGACGAGCCGCCGCCGTTGGAGGACAGCGTCGTGTGGCCGGTCAGCACCGAGGACATGCTGCCGTTGGCGTGGCCGCCGTGGCCGCGCGCGTACGGCTTGCCGCTGGCGTCCGTCACGGACACGCCGCCTCCTGGAACAACAACACAGGTTAGTCGGGCAGTGGGCCAGAAGACCGGTGGAGGCGGTCAAAATCCCGGACGCGTTTTGAGCTCCAGAGTCGCTAAACGGGACTCGAACCGAGCGTGTGACCCCACCAATGGATTGCTCTCCGAACGAGGAAGCCATTGGTGGGGTCACACGTTCGGTTCGAGTCCCGTTTAGCGACTCTGGAGCTCAAAACGTGTCTGGCGTTTTGGCCGCCTCGGCCGGCCCACTGTGCGTCGGAGTCGCGGCGGTCGGCCTACCCATTGCGCCGCGCTCCTACAAGTGTGCCGACGCGGCCCGCACTGCCGCGGCCACACGAAACGTGCCCGGACACCCGCGGGCCGCGGGCCTCCGCACACCCATTCCGACAGTGGTGTTCGTCGCTCTGTCTCTCTCGCACGCACGGCGCGTCGCATAGGTGCGACAGGGACAGTGACGAAAACGACTTTCGGAATGAGCGTCTGCTTGGAGAGCAAGGTCACGAGGTGCAGGGGGAGGGGGAAGTGCCATTGGTTGGTTAAGCCGCTCGCGCTAAAGATTTTAGGGCTACATCCGGAGACAGCGAGACAGCGGCCGATTGTGTGCGCTCTGTCTCTGTCGCGCCCCGTCCCACAGTGGGCCAGAAGACAGGTGGAGTGGTCAAAATTCGAGACACGTTTTGAGCTCCAGAGTCGCAAAATGGGACTCGAACCGAACGTGTGACCCCACCAATGGATTCCTCGTTCGGAGAGCTGTCCATCGGTTCGAGTCCCATTCAGCGACTCTGGAGCTCGGGCGTCTAGAGTTTCGGCCGCCTCCACCGGTCTCCTGGCCCACTGTGCGTCCTTGTCTCGGGGCGTCGCGTCGGGAAGGTGGGAGGTGCGGCGGGGCGCGGCATGGACGGGGCCACACCCTGGCCAAGGCACTGCCAAGGCACGGCCAGGGCGGGCCCGACACGTGCGGACACGTGCAGAGGCATGGCAGGGCGCACGTCCAAGGAGCGCCACAAAAAAAAAAAAGTTCAAACTTAAATAAATAACCGGAAAGCTGAAGACGCGAAAATTTCTTTCAGACAAATGGCGCGTCTTCAGAAAACCGGGAGCACGCGTCTCGATTTCAAATTTTGGCGCCAAGACGGAACGGAACGGAACGCGCTTCTCGGAAGGAAACGCGATAGCGCCCGCCTCCCGCTCCAATCATGCTGATGGCGCCATTGTGTGTGTGTGTGTGTGTGCGTATCGCCTCCTTTGTCCTCGGTTTATGTCAGGTGTGTTTTCCGATAACGTCGCCTGCAGATCGATTCGCTGCGGCGCCAGAAACGGTTCGAGAAAAAGGACGAAGAAGAAGAGGAAGAAGAAGAAGAAGAAGAAGAAGAAGAAGAAGAAGAAGAAGAAGAAGAAGAAGAAGAGAGGAAGGGGGAGCGCCTGCGAAGTGCGAGGTAGGCCGGCCTGCCGAACAGGCGCGTGCGGCGGTACAGCCTACCCGGCGTGTGGCAGGCGCCAAGCCCAAAATCCCGGACGCGTTTTGAGGTCCAGAGTCGCTAAATGGGACTCGAACCGAACGAGTGACCCCACCAATGGACAGCTCTCCGAACGAGGAATCCATTGGTGGGGTCACACGTTCGGTTCGAGTCCTGTTTAGCGACTCTGGAGCTCAAAACGCGTCTAGAGTTTGGGCCGCCTCCACCGGTCTTCTGGCCCACTGTTTGGCCCGTGGTGTGGCCAAGCCTCTTCAACTGACCGTTGATGCGCTCCTGGAAGCCGGGGTTGTTGAAGGTGGTGGCGCGGTCGCCGCGGGGGTCGCGCGTCGACATGGTGGGGTCGCCGCCGAGCCTCCGCGAGAAGATGACGTCGTACAGCGACATGACGAACAGCAGGAAGTCCAGGGCGATCAGGATGATCTGCCGGAAAAGGGCATCAGTCTCTCTCTCTCTCTCTCTCTCTCTCTCTCTCTCTCTCTCTCTCTCTCTCTCTCTCTCTCTCTCTCTCCCTCTCTCTCTCTCTCTCCCTCTCTCACCTGCACGTAGAACGCCTCGCCCCGGCTGACGTGGAAGCCCGCTCCCCGGTCGTCCGTCTGCACCGCGAAGAGGCTGGCCGCAACGATGGCCAGGATGGCTGCAACAGTGGGCCAGTCGCGTCACGGACAGGGCAGTCAGCGAGCCAAAGGGAGGGCACTGGAGACGCTAACCTAACCTGACTCGGCCCGACTGCCGCCCAATGCAACCTAGCTGAACCCAAGTGGCGGCCGAGGCACATGAAAAGTAACGTCGGAGAGGCGGACGTTGGCGTCGTGTTCCGAACTGCTCGAGACTGCGCTCGTTCCGCGCAGCGCGGCGATAGCGAGCCGACTCGCAGTGCCGTGCCGTGTCACGCCGCGACCCACACTGCACTACACAGTGGAGGCGGACAAAACTCGAGACGCGTTTTGAGCTCCAGAGTCGCTAAACGGGACTCGAACCGAACGTGTGACCTCACCAATGGATTGCTCTCCGAACGAGGAATCCATTGGTGGGGTCACACGTTCGGTTCTAAGGCCATTTGGTGACTCTGGAGCTCAAAACGCGTCCGGGATTTTGACCGCCTCCACCGGACTTCCGACCCACTGTGGTCCCCCTCATCCGCTAACCCTTCGGAAATTTTCCTGCGTGGCCCTTGACGCGGTCCTTGACATGAAGCGAAATTGAGACTCGTCGATTCCGACGCACGCAGCAGCCACGGGCAAGGACCGCCCGGCAACGCACTGTCAAAAACGTATACTCGCACGAGTACTTCCAAAAAATGGAGAATGAACCTACTTGCGATGAGGGCGAGGACCAGCTTGATGATGACGGTGAAGCTGTACTTGAGCAGGACCTTGTCCTTGGAGGACACCATGGCGAGCTGCAGCACCGACAGGAAGCAGAAGACGGCGAGCATGGCCACGCCGAAGGCTGCCACCACGCCGGAAGCCCACACCGCACCTGCAGAGAAAAAAAGACGAAAATTTAAAAAAAAATCTAAAAAGTTCAAATTTAAAAATAAAATTTAAAAAATGTTTTAATTTTTTTAAAAATTATCAAAAAAAAATTAAAAAAATGAAAAATTTTAAAAAAATGAAGAATGAGGCAGGATTCGAACCCAGGACTTACCGCTCGGCTGGAAGCGGGAGACATTCCGGCCGCAGCGCTCCCGCTCGTACTGCAGCTGCCGACACACCTGCCACGGCCCGAAGTAGCCCCTCTCCACGGCGAAGCCACCTGCGGACACAGCAGACCATCCTGCGTGAGTGTACGGTGGGCTGCCTACCCGCCCGGCGAAGCGCGACAGAGTCGCAGCGTCCTTCACCCACACTGCCAAGCACCGCCACGACCTTGCCGCTCTCCGGTCGCGGCACAGTGGGCCAGAAGACCGGTGGAGGCGGCCAAAAGTGTTGCCACACAAGTGGGCCAAAATTGCCACGATGCGCCGAAAAGGGCTGCCAACCTCAGCCTGCCTGGCTTTGGGAGAAAAAGCCCCATGCTGCCTAGTGGGCAAGCCCTCTGCAGTGCAGCGCGTCAGTGGGACTTGGAACGCACGCAGAGCGACGCAGAGCGACGCGCAGTGACTCACGAAGAGGATTCGACTCGGTAGGCTCCGAGGCTAGGCCGGCTAGGCTAGGCGCTGTGCGCTTGCGCAGCGAGGCGCTGGCTGGACTCCGGCCAGCTAGACGAACGAAATAAACATCCGGCACACGGGCTGAATCAACCGCCATTTTGATTCCCTGGACGTTTGTCTTGCCACCTGTCTGTCTGTCTGTCTGTCTGTCTGTCTGTCTGCCTCCCTGTCTGTCCGTCTGTCTGCCTGTCTGTCCGTCTGCAAAATGGGTCGGTTTACTGTTCGCATCCAGCGCTCGCATCGGACCAATCATCCATGGTTGTCACAAATTGAATCCTCTGGCAAGTGTCCGCTGGTGCCCCCTCTCTGTCTCTCTCGCTCGCTCGCCGCGCGACAGGAATGCGGGGCAGACACTACACTCCACACGCGCCTCGCGCGAGAGGTCAGAGCCGCGGCGATGCCGAGCGCGGAGGTTCGACTCCCCGTCCCGACGGAACGTTAAAAAAAAAGGAAATTTATAAAAATAAACAAAGTTGTAAATTTGAAATTGAGGAGCGCAGGGAGGGAGCCCCTGTGATGGAGAGCATCGGCAACGCCGCAACACTGTGCTGTGCTGCGTGGCAGCCTACCCTGGGGTTCGCAGGCGCTTTGCACGTCTGTCTGTCTGTCTGTCTGTCTGTCTGTCTGTCGGTCTGTCTGTCTGTCCGCCCGTCCGCCGCCACGCCCCGCTGACAATACCCAATAAAATAAACGCAATCACAGCGTCGCGGTAACGCAGGTAACGCACCACTGGGCATCCCGACGATCGCTGTTACCTCGTGTGACGGCCATAATTAGACCTAGGTGGGCCTGCACCGTATGATTCCATCATCCGCAAACGGCTCGCGGGGCGGGGGGCGGCTCTGGATAAGACGGTTCGGATCTCGTGTGTGTGTGTGTGTGTGTGTGTGTGTGTGTGTGTGTGTGTGTGTGTGTGTGTGTGTGTGTGTGTGTGTGTGTTCCAAGCCGCAACGGGAATGGTTGTCATGGCAACCTGCTTTCTCACGGCCCTACCCCGCCCCGCCCCGCCATGACTTGGCGAGTCGAAATGCGACACGTCGTTGTCCGCGTCGAGGCTTGGAGGCGAAGGGTATGGGTGTTGCAGGGGAATGCGAGAGGGAGGAATAAAAAAAAGTGGGGGGGGGGAGAAGCAGAGGATTAGAAGCATTTTTTTCTTTTTTTGTCATAGAGGAAATTGGACGCGTAAAAATGGACGGGAAACGGTCACCAGGCTGGACAGCTGGGCAGTGGACAGGACGGGGACGGGCACGGGGCAGGGCAGAGGGAGTTTGTTAAGGGCAGCAGCTGCTGCATGTGGGGCACAACACACCTATCAGATGATGCGACGCTAGGTGGGGATCACGCTGCGACACCCGGCTGTCTCTGTCGCACTCACGGGGGCGTCCCATCGGGGCGAGAGAGAGAGAGAGAGAGAGAGAGAGAGAGAGAGAGAGAGAGAGAGAGAGAGAGAGAGAGAGAGAGAGAGAGACAGACAGACAGACGGCACCCCTTAACGTTCGTCAAGCGATGGCGCGTCGTCACGTTGCGGCTCGCGTTGTGATATCTGATGCACTGCAGCGAGATCGCGAAGAAGGGAGCACAGCCCCACACTCGTTCTCCTCCCTCTCCCTCCCGTCCATCCCCGTATCTGCGCCTGCACTGGGAAGGTGTTTTACGGTGCCGAGGTGGCTCGTGACGGACCTCGGCTGTGTCCGTATCGCCATGAGCCTCTCTCTCTTTCCCTCCCTCTCGGTCGCCCCAGCCCGGCCTGGCTGCAGCTGGCTGGGGCGATGCTGCACAGTGTACCCGATATAGTCGGTTCGCTGCCACACTGCAGTACGGTTTTAAGTTTTCCGGACTCGCGAAATGGCGGGGCTATAGTATCTCGTTACGGCAGTCGTCCACTCCACGTCTAATGGCCGTGCCTTTACCGCCACCGCATTCCGAGAGTCGTCGCTCTGTCTCTCTCGCACCTGTACGGGACGCCCCATGAGTGCGAGAGAGACAGAGCGACGAGTCTCGGAATCGGCCCCGCAAAAGCCCCACACACTGTCAGACACACTGTCCGAACGCGCGTTCAATTCGTTCAATTCGCCCAAGCCGTCGCTTCCCAGCTGCGAACCCGAAGCTGTGACGCTCAACTGCGTTTGGCTTGATCGGCCGTTGGGGCCCGGGGGCGAGGGGCCTGCTGGCCATTGTACCTCTTGAGACGGCGTGGCGTGGCGCAGCAGTCGTCGCTCTGTCTCTCTCGCACCTATAAGGAGCCCCCATAGGTGCGAGGGAGACGCAGGGCTACGAAAATGAGTCTGCAGCATCGGATATTTCGGTGCGCTACTCGAGGCAGGAGAACGGAGCCCAGCAGAAACGGCCAGAACCGCCAAATCAAACAGTCTTTTGATTCCCTCTCAGTGTTTTTCTTTTTCGTCGCTTGGTCGGGCCTGCTTCCCGCAAGGTTGGCAGCCCTGCAAGACCGCCTCGTCCCGCGCTTGGGCGTTGCTTGGGTTGGCAGCCCTGCCCCACTTTGCACCTTACTTACCACTTTGGGCGTGACGTCTAGGCGACCGCGACGCCGTGCCGTCTATTTCGGGGTGATATTGACCCTGGCCAATCAGACGCGACTATGGCGACCGGCGGAGGGAAAGGTGGAGAGGGGGGAGAATTACGCGCGGGAACAACCCTTCCGTACACACCCCGAAAATAGGCACCACCCTCCCCCGTTCGAACAGACCGAAATAAGGCGCCAATTTGTGTTGTCTATTCGCCTCGTTCGAAATGACTGCCGGCCACCGGAAATGCGGTTTTTGCTTCCGGTGCCACACAGACACAGTGGGCCAGAAGACCGGTAGATGTGGCCAAAATTCTAGACGCGTTTTGAGTTGCAGAGTCGCTAAATGGGACTCGAACCGAACGGTGACCCCACCAATGGATTCCTCGTTCGGAGAGCAATCCATTGGTGGGGTCACACGTTCGGTTCGAGTCCCATCTAGCGACTCTGCAGCTCAAAACGCGTCCGGCATTTTGGCCACCTCCAATGGTCTTCTAGCCCACTGCAAGCCTGGTGCCGATTCGGTGGCAGGAGAGCAGCCAGGCCCAGAGCCTGGACGGCCTGGCCTACATTTCGAACGGTACATCAGGTGAAAACGGGAAGGGCATGGGCCGCATGGGCCGCATGGGCCGGGAGCTAGCAAGGCATAACAACAACGGCGGAAGCAACAACAACCAAATGGCCGTTTTGGCGGGCGGACTTGCTATCTATTCTGCGATCGAGAGAGAGAGAGAGAGAGAGAGAGAGAGAGAGAGAGAGAGAGAGAGACAGAGAGAGAGAGAGAGAGAGAGAGAGAGAGAGGGAGAGAGAGATTCTTGTAGCGGCGCCACTCTGCCAGCCGTTCGATGCAGCCAGCTGCAGACTCCCGAAGCGCCCTTTCTTCGTCCGCCGTCTCAGTCGCACTCATGGGGCGCCCCGCAGGACCCCTGGGGGTGCGAGAGAGACAGAGCGACGAGTGCCGGCAGAGTGCGTGGCGTTGACAGACCTGGCCGAGGCTCCGTTTCAGCGGCAGCCAACACAGCAGCACTGAGCCTTTCAGACCGTCGCCAAAACTGTTTCCCGCCTCCTCCAAGCCCCTTCGAGACGCGCCATCTTTGCTTTGCTTGCCCGCCGCGCAGTGGGCCAGAAGACCGGTGGAGGCAGCCAAAACTCTATACGCGTTTTGGGCTCCAGAGTCGCTAAACAGGACTCGAACCGACCGTGTGACCCCACCAATGGATTCCTCGTTCTGAGACCAATCGATTGGTGGGTCACACGCTCTGTTCGAGTCCCATTTAACGACTCTGGAGCTCAAAGCGCGTCCAGAATTTTGGCCGCCTCCACCGGTCTTCTGGTCCACTGCCGGCTCCTCTCAGCTTCTCCCGCCAATTTTTTGGTCAAGGTCAGTCCGCTGTTTGTGTTTTTGTTTCCTTTTGCAGAGCATCCTCCCTCTTCGACTGGGCGCTCCCCCCCCCCCCCCTTTCTTTCCGTCTTGGCGGGAAAGCCAGTGTCCGATGTGAGGTCACGCAAGAGCTGCTCGGGGTGCACTCTTTAATAATAAACGAGGATGTAAAGAGAAAAATTATTTCGATGAGCAGCTCATTCTCAAATGAAAACAAAAAACAAAAACAACATGCCTGATCTTGCAAAGAAAAAAAGTCCACACTTAACCAAGATTTTAGCGTTACAGTAAAATCACAAATCAAAAAACGAGGTCCTGGAGATTCCAGGAGGGAGCCAAGCGAATCCGCGCGACGGCCTTATAATGGTCCTTCTATGCAAGAACGGCAAAATGCTCACCTGAGCGCCTCAATGAGGAAAAGGAGGAGGGGAAGGGGGAGGGGAGGGGAGGGGGGTACATCTGGTACCCCACCGAGCGGGTACTGGAGCGGCGCGGGTACTCCCCCCTCCACTTCCCCCTCCAGTGTCCAGCCGGCGGCAAGGCAAGGCGTAGCAAGGCGGACAGTCAAATGGAACCGGTTGGAAGACTATGGCTCGGCTCGGCTCGGCTCGGCTCGGCCCGGCCCGGGCCGTGAGGTCGCAAGCAAAGCCAAAGGGCGTTACTGCTGCGCGGACTGCACACGGCAAAATATCTCTCTCCGTTTTTTCCTTTTTTTTCAATTTTTAATTTTTGATCGCTCGTGCGCACTCGCGTTCAATTACTTTTAATTGAAGTACTGAGTGCGGCTCAGCGGGCTGACGGTCGCAAGGGTTCGTGTTTCGAGTCGCCGGCTCCAATCGGACTACTTAGCAGTGGAGGTGGCCGTGGCCGAGGCCAGTCCGGGAGGTGGTCGACCGGTGCATGCCGCTCGCTGTTGTTGGTGGTGTTGTTGTTGTTGTTGTTGTTGTTGTTGCCGGGGCCGCAGAGGCGCGTAGGTCGGACTCCTCCATGGAGGAGAAGTGGACTGGTTGGTGGGCTGCCAAATATTTTGCATCCACTGTCAGAGACAGGATAGGGGGGCCGGCGGCGGAGAGTCTCTCGCTAAAAACTTTATCAAAAGGAAATTGCGCTTCGACTTGGCAAAAAAAAAAAAAGATGGTAGGGAGTTTGTTTGAGTATTTTTAGTTTGGAAACTCGTTTAAGTTGGTACCTCTGCACGGCACGCCCGGCCCGGCTGCCATTCACGCAGGGCCTGTGCCTCAATCCTCGACTTAAAAGACGACCTAAGCAGGGCTGCCTAGGCAATGCCTAGCCCGAGCCAGAACGCCACCTCGCATTCCGCTCTAATTTCGTGTCGGTGTGTTGGTAATTGGCTGAGCATGCTCCACACACACACGTGCACGCACGCAGTCGCTACCGCGGCAACTCGCCGAAGTACTCTGTCTCACGGAGTGTGTTCCTTGTCTCCCTTCTAAAACACAACGTTTGTTTCTGAATTAATATTATTTTATTTTGTGGCAGGTTGGGGGCGTGCGCGGTGTGCGACAGGCGCCATGACGGCCGTGCCTCGCGCTGCACAGTGGGCCAGAAGACCGGTGGAGGCGGCCGGAACTCTAGACGCGTTTTGAGCTCCAGAGTCGCCAAGTGGGACTCGAAACGAACGTGTGACCCCACCAATGGATTGGTCTTCGAACGAGCAATCCATTGGTGGGGTCACACACTCGTTTTGAGTCCCACTTGGCGACTCTGGAGCTCAAAACGCGTCTAGCGTTTAGGCCACCTCCAGCGGTCTTCTGGCCCACTGTGACGGATTCGCCTCGACTTATGCAACGTAAGTGGGGCCTGCCTCGCGGCCACGACGCGGACACGACGCGGACACGAAGCCCCCGATCCCGATTCCGCCTTTCCTCTCTCATTTCGGCGTCCCTGCTTGAGGCGGTGCACTTTGCAGTGCATCAGCGCTGGGCGCCGCGACCTTGGGATGCTTGCTTTCCTGCTTGGCGGTCTCGCCGTTCTCGGCGTCCACACGCGGTGACGTGGCGAGCGGCCGCGCAAGCGTGCGCAAGCGGAGGAAACGATACCCCGCGCGCCAGGGACTGGCTGCCGGGACAGCGTCAGGGGTCGCTCGCGCGCGGGGTAGCGCCGCGGAGCGCTGGTTGCCGCTACCCCTCGCGCGAGGGAGCCTGAACGCCGGGCGCACGGGGAGCGCCTGCCTGCAGCGCGGGGTATCGACGCGGTGCCGACTCGCGCGGCCAGAGACAAAGTCGTTTATAAGCCGGCTGAGTAATTCTAAACGAGGTGATCTCGGTGCGTGCATCGGCCGGGCGGCTCTCGCATCCAGATCGGATTGCCCCCCCCCCTCTCTCTCTCTCTCTCTCTCTCTCTCTCTCTCTCTCTCCGGCCACGACGGCGATGGCAAGGATTAGAAGTGCACTCCGCCCAGAAAGGCGTTAAATATTATTTGCCACGATAGTCCGTATTTTATTACATGCACCGTTCGATAGCCACCGCCTGCTGGCTCATAGCTCAATTTGAACGACCCCGGGGGAACTTGCCCTGCAGTAGATTCTCTCCGCCGTCAGAGCGTTTATTCCGCGTTCCAAATTCGTTCCGTGAATGCAAAATAAATTTCCGTGCAGGCGGTGTGGCTGCAGGTAAGCGCACGACGCCACATCCCGTTACCTTACACTAATACACTGCTGAGAATTCGGTTGCTGTTTGTTTTTTCCGGTTCGTTTGGAGGTCAAAGTCGGCGCTGCGGTGGGAGAGGCGACCGCGTAGATTCGGTAGGCCGATGCCGGCCGATGCCCCACAGTGGGCCAGAGGACCGGTGCAGGCGGGCGAAACTCTAGACGCGTTTTGAGCTCCAGAGTCGCTGAATGAGACTCGGAACGAACGTGTGACCCCACCAATGGATTCCTCGTTGAGACAGCAATCCATTGGTGGGGTCACACGTTCGGTTCGAGTCCCATTTAGCGACTCTGGAGCTCAAAACGCGTCCGGGACTTTGATCGCCTCCACCGGTCTTAGCCCCTGTCCCGACAGTGGATAGGCAACCAACCGACACGCATGGCTCGCGGCTGCCTGCCTGGCAGGCGTCCCCTCCCCCGCTCGGCGCAGGATGTGTAAGGCACGGCCCTCCCCCCCCCCCTCCCCAACGGCATTCCTCAATGGACCACACTAAAAGAGAGCCGCTTCTTCGACGCGCCGTCCGGACGTGCGCCCGCGCGACGCGTTCCGAAGTCCTGTTTGGCGACTCTGGAGCTCAAAACGCGTCTAGATTTTTAGCCGCCTGCACCGGTCTTCTGGCCCACTGTGGTGTGGGAGGTTGTAACGACTCACGTGTGTCGCTATCGCCGTGGCCCACAGCCCCCAGTACGCGAAGCCGATACGCTGCGCGGAGCACTCACTATCCTGCCCGGGGCCGCCGCCTTGGCCCCCGCACAGTGGGCCAGAAGACGGGTGGAGGCGGACAAAACTCCAGACGCGTTTTGAGCTCCAGAGTCGCTAAACAGGCCTCGAACCGACCGTGTGACCCCACCAATGGACTCCTCGTTCGGAGAGCAATCCATTGGTGGGGTCACACGTTCGGTACGAGTCCCATTTAGCGACTCAGGAGCTCAAAACGCGTCTGGAGTTTTGGCCGCCCCCACCGGTCTTCTGGCCCACTGTGCGCCGGGCCTCCGGGCTGCCATCAAGGCTTCCTGGCGATACCGCACGGCGCGCACGCTAGCAGAGCAACTTCCCAAGAGATGTTCCCATCGGAGCCCCGCCCCCTCCAGGAAGGCTCCAGGCACGCCGCGCCGGCCAGGTCCTCCCGGCCGTCCTCCAGGATGCATCCGTTTGGGAGAGAGTCCTGGGAACGTCCCGAGAGCGACGCGACGCGCCCTAGAGCTGCCGCTGAAAACTTTTCAACCGGCAGAAGCGCTCGGGAACAGGCGTCAGTACACTACAAGCGACTCGCGCAGCACCGCGGAATCAATGTCTGTCTGTCTGTCTGTCTGTCTGTCTGTCAGCTGTCTGCGGCTGGAGTGACGGACAGACACGCCGTCAGCTCGCACAGCAGCGAAAAATCAATTCAAGGCAGCCGTTCACCCCGCTAGACGTCACCCACATCTGCTGCTGGTGGTGTGTGTGTGTGTGTGTGTGTGTGTGTGTGTGTGTGTGTGTGTGCGTGCGGACGCCACAGTGGAGTTGCCTTACAACGCCTCAGGGACGGTACAGTAGCCGCGAACCTATTCTCCGCTGGATAAACAAGAGCGGATCCAGGAGGAAGCGGAAGGGGGGGGTCAATTTTCACCTCGATAGCCGCCTGACAGGTAGGCAAACGGCAACCCATTGCCCCCTGTAAGTGCGCGAAACGTGCTACTCGAGGTGCTACTTTGCTGTTACCCCCCCCCCCCAGGCCAGCTCTGCATCCACCACTGCTGGAAGAGGCCCGGAGTCCAGCGCGGCGAGTCTGGAGGCAGAGAGAGGCAGACACAACATCCTCGCGGTGTGCAGGAAACAATTACGGGTCGTCTGCTGGAACGCTGGAGCCGCGCTGGAGCGCTATGGAATCCGCGTTCCGGGAAACGAAAACGACAACGCACCGCGACGCACCGCGACGCCGTCGAGACGTGCAGACGCTGCCTGCTCATTTCCGCACCGACGAACCGTTCAAGTATTACGTGAACGAGGAATCCATTGGTGGGGTCACACGTTCGGTCCGAGTCCCGTTTAGCGACTCTGGGGCTCAAAACGCGTCTAGAGTTTTGGCCGCCGCCAGCGGTCTTCTGGCCCACTGTGCGCCACTGGAAGCGGCACAAGAAACCCTTCACTCGGTGGAGACAGCTGGGCCGGGCTGGGCTGGCCGGAAACAGTCCGGAGACTCCAGACGCGCACGAGCCACCGGAGAAGCGGGGCGGCTGGACTCGGGCTGGACGGGCCGGGGGCTCCGGTTTCAGGGGGGGGGGGGATTCAACAGCTGGGATGCTCGGGGCAAGCGCATTCACTGCGAACGGGCAGTGTTGCCACACTAGTAGGCGAAAATTCCCGGCAATGTACCAGTAACTAGCAAAGCCCAGAGGCAGTTTGAGATATGCAACCCTACCCTTTTTTGCGAACGGGACGAGAAAAAAAATGTGGGAAGACGCTGGTAGTCGAACCCGGGACTCACCGTCATTGTCGAAGTAGCCCCAGAGCGGCAGGCCTACCGCGGTGGCGCCCATCGCGAAGCAGACGAAGCCGAGGCACGCCACGCCCGTGGAGTAGAGGGCCTTGCCGCTCTGGGCCTTGCCGGACGAGCCGGGCGGCCCGGGCAGGGACAGGGGCGGTGGGCTGGCCATCGTAACCGCATCGTCAGCGGCAACGCCGTCAACGCCGTCAACGCCGTCAACGCGCCCTCGGCCCGGCAGTCAGCCTGGCGTCAGCCAGCGCTCAGCCAGCGCCCCGCCGGGCCGCGCATCCCCGGCCTGCAACACAGAGACGGGCATTTGGCGGACCACTCCTGGCAAGACACACAGTCAATCAAAACAATCTTGAAAAACAAACAATGCACTAAAAAGCTCGGTATGAAGAAAGGATTGTTGCAGTGTACAGAGACAAAGGGCTCGGCCCGTCTTCCTATCGCGGTCATTATTATTATTTCGGGGACGACGTCGACACGTGCATTGTGGCGGGGCGGGGCGGGGCGGGGCGGGGCGGGGCCAGTTCGTGAGGGGCGCTGCATCCACGAGGACGGCGTCGTCGGGCATTCCTCCGCGTCGTGCGCCGCACAGTGGGCCAGAAGGCCGGCGCAGGCGGCCAAAACTCTAGACGCGTTTTGAGCTCCAGAGTCGCTGAATGGGACTCGAACCGAACGTGTGACCCCACCAATGGATTGCTCTCCGAACGAGGATTCCATTGGTGGGTTCCGGTGGGTTCAAACTGTCGGTCTGAGCGACTCTGGAGCCCAAAACGCGTCTAGAGTTTTTCGCCGCCTGCGCCGGTCTTCTAGCCCACTGTGCACGGCCGAATTTGAAAATTTGGTCCTCATTTGGTACAGACTGCGGTAAAAACCAGCTATAGTATAGTCCGCATTTTGACTTTGTTGGTTTCAGAACTCTTATAAAAAGGAGAAGCACTGACAGTCCGCCTAACTGCGCGGGAAAGCGGAGCCGGGGAACAACTTCAAACTAAACAACAACTCCTCTCTCACCCGCACAAAAAACAACGAATTAGCGACGCTGGATAAAAACTTTTGCGCAGACTGTACTCCGGCCGGATCCATAACACCTGTAGGCACGGTGCCGCGGGCCAGCCGGCCGCGTCCCGCACGAGGTGCACAGTGTGGTGCACAAGAGCGGCGACGTCGTCCGAAAGGGGTTCAAAAGGGTGCAGCGTTGCATGACGGCGAGGGGAACCCGCGGGGCACGGCGCGGCAAGAGGAGGCCAATTTAATTACTGACCCATTTAGCAGCGCCGTGTGACGAGGCAAACACGGCGGAAAAAACGGAAGAACAAACTCGGATTCACTATCAATGACAGCAAAAGCGGAGAACGACAAACGCAGTTTGGAGTGTGTGAGTGGAAAGGACGGTGGGACTACTTTCGACGAGCGTCAAACGCCGGAAACGGTCTCGATCGGTTCAGTAATGTTATGAAGCCAGAAAAGGGCGGACACACACACACACACACACACACACACACAAACTCGGTACAGCACGGCGTTTTCTGAGGCGCAGTTCCGGCGCCTGTGCGCTAGTCGGTGAGAAACAGGAGAGTCGAGATTTTGTGGCGGGTACTGCTTGGTTTGCGGTGTAGGCGACGGCAGGTGTCGCGCGGTTTGGGTAGCGAAGGCGGTGCACGGTGAGCGGTGGAGAGGGAGGGGGGGGGGAGGCGATCCCTTCAATATAAGCTGCCATTCACCAGCAATCACACCGCTGGGGCCGGGAAGGCCTGTCCCTTCGCTGCTCCGCGCCGCCGTCAGGGCGAATCCGACAAATTCATCGGCTAGGGCCGTGGGAGCCGCCTTGAGCAGGGAGGGCGACGGAGGGCCTGGCCTGGATAAAGACGTCCCTTTTCACACACTGTGAGCGTCCATATGCATGAGGCGCTCCGGCAAGCGTTCGGGCCCTTGGGGCCCTTCGGCTCTGCCTTTCCGCAGCCCCCAAACCCCGCGGACGATTTTCAAACGGCGTTTCGATAATTTTGTAACACGAAACGGGTGGAAAAATAAAGTCCTGTCACCCTCCTCGCCTGGCGCTCCATTGTCCGTCCCGCACTTCGCTGCCTCCTCTTCCTTCCTTTTCGTGGCAGTGTCCTGGCAGTGTCCTGGCAGTGTCGTGGCACGGCCCGGCTCACTGATGTCCCACTGCACTCCGACTTTGGCCCCTTAAAAAGTGTAACGGTGCACCAGCGCTGCCGTGCCGCGCCGAGCCGCGCTCGCCTCGCGGAGCCCCCTGCACCAATTCCTCATACCACGGTGCGAGGGCGTTCGGGGAGCGTTCGGGCAGCAAGACGCGGAGGGACGGCGACGGTTCCCACGTCCTCGCCGTTACCTTCGCTTGCAGTGTGTGAACGCGTGCTATATCCTCCAACGGCCCAACGGTATCGACACGGAGCCCAGTTACACTGGTACATTTTTCAAGGGCCGTTGCCGGGACGCGTCCGCCCTCCATTAGGACTCAAGCTCGCGATGGTCGTGGAGGCCCTTCGAACGAGGAGCCTGCGCCACAGTGGGCCAGAAGACCGATGGAGGCGGTCAAGATTCCAGACGCGTTTTGAGCTCCAGAGTCGCTAAATGGGACTCGGACCGAACGTGTGACCCTATCAATCGATTGCTCTCCGAACGAGGAATCCATTGGTGGGGTCACGCGTTCGGTTCGAGTCCCATTCAGCGACTGTGGAGCTCAAAACGCGTCTTTGGCCGCCTCCACCGGTCTTCTGGCCCACTGTGGTGAGGGCCTGGACCTGGGGCCGTGTCTCGGACGTGCCCCGCTGCTTTCTGGGCCTCGGCGCCTCCACTGCGCCCACGGAAGTCCACGGCGGCCACGCCACGGCCCAACGCGCGCGCCCACTGCGAGGGACTGGGCCCACCAGGCCCACCACTGCACACGGCCAAAATGTGGGTCGACGGACCGTGGCGGCGTGCGAGCGTAGCGCAGCGAGCGCAGCGTAGCGGCCCGTGAGGCGCCGCACGGACAGACAGACAGACAGACAGACAGACAGACAGACAGACAGACAGACAGACAGACAGACAGACAGATGGCCAGTCCCACAGGTGAGTAGCAAACTAGCAGGGTGTTGGCGGCGCTACCGCACCACTGCACTGCAGGTCTCGGAGCCCCCGTCGTCGGCCGGGTAGACCGCCCCGCCGAACAGCAGTGCGTTGCGGGCACTTGAAAGGCTAGACCGGGACTCGAACCGAACGTGTGACCCCACCAATGGATTGCTCTCCGAACGAGGAATCCATTGGTGGGGTCACACGTTCGGTTCGAGTCCCATTTAGCGACTCTGGAGCTCAAAACGCGTCTAGAGTTTCGGCCGCCTCCACCGGTCTTCTGGCCCACTGTGCGGCCGACTAATGTTTCGGTCAATTCCTTCCCTCGACCGTGAAAAGTGGCGTGCGGCGCGCATCGAGCGGCGGGGCACTGCAAAGGCACTGCGAGGCACGTCTGGAAGGCGGTGGATTGGAGGGGCCATGCCATTCGGGAGTGTGTTTCATCAAAAACTAGAAAACAACAACAACAAGAAAACGCAATTAGCCGTGCGTTTCACGCGGCGTTTCTTTTTTGGCGCCGACGCGCGCACTGACCAACACACACTAACTGCTGCACTGGCGTGAGCCCCACGGTGGGACCGCCATCCGAGAGAGAGAGAGAGAGAGAGAGAGAGAGAGAGAGAGAGAGAGAGAGAGAGAGAGAGAGACGCCCACTGGCTATTAGAGGGCCAGTGCAAGGGACGCCTCGGTGGCGACGCGGTGGCAGAGGACAGCGACGCGGCGACGCAGTGACACGGCGACGCACACACTGTGACACACTGACGGCGGGACGGACCTTGACCTGCCAATCGTCGCCATCAAGACCGTCGAGACCGTCGAGATGGCACAATTACTGGGTCATTAACGACACCTTCGACGTGTTTACGTTTCCGTGCCACTTCTACTACGCCCCAATCTTTACAAGTCTTTTCCCCTTCCTGTCCCCTTAATTTTTTTTTCTCTGTCTCCTCTTCCTTTTATTATAGTCGATTAAGTTTTCACTTCCTCCTCGCTCCCTTCATTTCTCTCGATTTTTTTTTTTTTAATTTTAGATATTTATTTGGCAAACGTTTGGCCGGAGGTGTTTTCAAAAAGATTTTTAAACCTTCTATAAATTTTGTGAGATGAGTGACGATTTGAGCGTCAAGAAGAGCAGAGAAGAGCAGGGACTTGGCGAGTCGGGATTTGGAGCCTCTCGCAGCACAGCTGCAGTGTGTGAGTCCGTGTGCTCTGCTCTAGTGGCACATGGCGCCAGCGCTAACTAAGCACGAGTCCACTTCGCACTTGTCAGCCGCCTGCGACACCGGGGCGAGGCGCACAGTGGGCCAGAAGACGGGTGGAGGCGGCCAAAATCCCGGACGCGTTTTGAGCTCCAGAGTCGCTAAATGGGACTCGAACCGAACGTGTGACCCCACCAATGGACTCCTCGTTCGGACAGCAATCCATTGGTGGGGTCACACGCTCGGTTCGAGTACCATTCAGCGACTCTGGAGCTCAAAACGCGTCCAGAGTTTTGGCCGCCTCCACCGGTCTTCTGGCCCACCGTGGAGCGGCCGCTACCGCTACCATCACCACTAACTTTCTTAGAGAAAGGACGGTAATATTCAGAGTGGCTCGTGCGTTCGCGTGGGAACAGGTGCCACTCGTGTGTGTGCGTGTGTGCGTGTGTTCGTCTATCTTGGTGGATGACATGAATGAAGGCCCCCCCGCACATCCATTTTTCATACGCCTCCCCCAAAAGTCACTTCCAGGAAAGCCTGGGCTAGTTTCCCCTGCACTGTCCCACCGCCGCCAACCCGAAGCCCCACGCGCGCGAGACATCGGGCCGCACTCGACGAACTAGGCAGTGTCTGGGCGAATCGAGGGCCGCTTGCAGTGTAAGCGGCTGGAGCGGCTGGAGCCTAGGCAGCCCGGGCTCGCTGCGCATCATTGCACCAGCGGCAAGCCAGCGGCTCGGCCGGATGCAGCCATTGCATTGAATCGCACCCACTGCATCCATTGCACCGCATTGCACCGCATTGCATTCTCGTTGAATTTCGCACCGACTCACCGTCCGAGTATCCGACACACCGTGCAGTGCAAAGCCCGAGGAGAACACGGAAGTCAAAACCCGTCAAAATCACGGCGAAATGACGTCATGACGCGCCATTCTCGCGACGAAATGGGCCGAATTTTGAGCAGTGCAGTCGCTCGACGTGAGGTCACAGAGTCACCACTTCGACTCTACTTTTCTCCGAGGTGTTGTCGGTCGCCGGGGTGACCCAGGTCAGTGGGCGCAGCGGACGCGCGGGCATACTGGAAGTTAATCCAGCGTAGCTCCCCCCCCCCCCCCAGTCGCCCATCCCATCCGCGAGCCCCAGCGCGCACCGGCCGCGGGGGTCAACCGCCTCGTCTCAGTCTCCGCCTCTCTCTCTCTCTCTCTCTCTCTCTCTCTCTCTCTCTCTCTCTCTCTCTCTCTCGCTCGCTGAAAGGCCGAAGGGGGAGCAGGGAGCGCGGCCGGCCTCCAATGAGGAAAACAAGCGACGCTGGAAGTGTTTAAAAGACACGCCCAGAAAGAGAACGAAATCTGGCATTCCCGGATTTCCCTGCCTGCCCTACTCCCGCACACCCTGCGCAAGGCGGCCAAAACTCTAGACGCGTTTTGAGCTCCAGAGTCGCTAACTGGGAGTCGAACCGAACGTGTGACCCCACCAATGAATAGCTCATTCGGAGAGCAATCCATTGGTGAGGTCACACGTTCGGTTCGCGTCCCATTTAGCGACTATGGAGCTCAAAACGCGTCTAGAGTTTTAGCCGCCTCCTCCGGTCTGTTGGCCCACTGTGATCACGGACGAAAATTCGCAACAACAACAGCAACAACAAATGGCATCGGACGCTTACTTCTAGGCGTGTAGCGAGACGTTGTTGACACCATGTTGGGGCGCAAACAATGACCCGTGTCACTGGGGGCAAGAAGGGGGGAAAGGGGGGAAGGGGGAAGGGGGGGGGCACCTGGAAGAAGGACAAACACCAGCAACGCCCAACGGGCTCGCGGAGGCACTTGAGAATTTCGCTTCCCCGTCAGGCCTTCGGACGTCGGGCCTCGGCAGTGTCGGCCCGTCGGCGCTACCGAAGGCACGTACCGAAGCCAGTCGCGTGTTCGGTTTCGGGCTTCGGTTCGACTTCGTCACGACGTCACTGGGATTCGATTCGGGCCGCGTGAGCGCGCGCCCAGCGGGAGCACTTGCAAGGCAAAGCAACCAAGCGCCATCGAAATCATCTCACTCAACATTTTACACCACAACAAAAAATGGTTGTTCTTGCACACGTCAAAAGTTTATGCGACAAAAGTTTTCCAACAGTAAAGCAGCCACGTAGAGCGGTTTTCATCCGAGTAAAGTTTTCTTTTTACAATGTGGTCGCTGTTTTTCCGCACTGCACCATGCCGTGTTTGGCGTGGTGTGGAGGCCATCCTTAACCTTGCCCAATGATTGGTTTCCCCTCGCGTGCCTCGCGTTGCTCCGATGCAGTGCTCTTTTCCTATTCAGCGGTCGATAAAACACACAGAGTCCACCACTACACCGTAGAGGCGCCGCAAGGCGACTGGCTTCTCAGGAGAGAGAGAGAGAGAGAGAGAGAGAGAGAGAGAGAGAGAGAGAGAGAGAGAGAGAGAGAGAGAGAGAGAGACGTGTGGAAAATCAATGGAGGAACGGTTAAGCTGAAAACGCGCTGGTCCGCCCGTCTTTTTCTTTTGCCAGTGCCCCGAGCCCCCTGCTGCTCCACGAGCTGCTCCAGCCGTGAAGCAAGCAAGCCAGCGAAGCCAGCCCGGCCACAACTTTCACTCGGATGCACCCGGCCCACGGCCCGGCAGCCCGCCACGGCCGCCACGGCCACGACAGCTAGAGCGCGGCGAGGCGGCCGGAGACGGCGAGCAGCTTCGAAAAGGCGACGAAAAGCCGGCCGAGTGGCCAACCTGGCTGCACAGGGCCAGACCGCCAGACCGGCGGAGGCGGCCAAAACTCTAGACGCGTTTCAGAGCTCCAGAGTCGCGGAATGGGACTCGAACCGAACGTGTGACCCCACCAATGGATTGCTCTCCGAACGAGGAATCCATTGGTGGGGTCACACGCTCGGTTCGAGCCCTATTTAGTGTCTCTGGAGCTCAAAACGCGTTCTGGGAGTTGGCCGCCTCCGCCGGTCTTCTGGCCCACTGTGCACCGGTGAGTATTCAGTATTCAGTGTGAATGGTCCGAAGGAGGGGCGTGGCTCGGCGTGGCTCGGCGGGGTTGGATCACCTACACCGTAAGCTCGCCCACGGCCTAATCCCACTACGGCGGGCGTGTTCACGTACGCCGTGCATTGTGGCGGTCCGGAGCAGTCTGGGCGCAGTCTCTCTCGCACTCCTTCGGGACGCCCTGCGAGTGCGAGAGAGACAGAGCGACGACGGCAGCTGACCACCGGCGGCATGGCATTGGAACGCGCGCGGGGGAAGTCCGGGTGTCTGGTGCGTAGCCCGTGGCTCCAACCCTTTGGTGTTGTTGTTGTTGTTGGCAGTGTGGGAGTCGTTGCCCCGGAGGCGGAGGCCGTCAGCAGATACGCCCGCTTGCAGCGAGGAGTATTCGCGAGTCGTCAGCGCTTCGGTCGCTCTGTCTCTCTCCCACCGCCCGCGGAACGCCACGGAGCGCCGTGTGCGCGAGAGAGACAGAGTGGCGTTGCAAATGTGGCACGGCGGCACGCGTTCTCAGCAGGCAGGGCGGTGTCGCGGTGTCGCAAGCGTGGTAAGCGTGGCAGCGAGGTGAGGTGACATTCAGCAAATCAAAATGGCCGACGCGGCAGCGCAGAGCCGCGGTAAAAACGCTGCGGGAATCTTGAGCCAATTGGCGGGGCAAGCTCGCCCGCTCGTCCGCACGCCCCACAGTGGGCGGTCGGAGGCGGCCAAATCCCGGACGCGTCTTAAGCTCCAGAGTCGCTTAATGGGACTCGAACCGAACGTGTGACCCCACCAATGGATTGCTCTCCGAACGAGGAGTCCATTGGTGGGGTCACACGTTCGGTTCGAGTCTTTCTTAGCGACTCTGGAGCTCGAAACGCGTCTAGAGTTCCGGCCGCCTCCACCACTCTTCTGACCCACTGTGGGCCGGTCCGCGTTTTTGTTTTCGTCCCTCCGCTCGTCCGGGAAGGCTCCCCGACGCGACACTGGGCCGAACGGTGTCACGTTGGTGCCTCCAGTCCTTCCAGTGTCCTGGAAAGCTGACTAACGGTGTTGTCTAGGCGTCTGCCCGGCCGCTAGGGGAGCTTTTCCCGCGCAAACTGGAAATGGTTTCTAGTCGGGGCGGCCGGGCCGGGGCGCTGCGCATGGATTTTTAATAAATCGATCTCAATGAGTCCTTGGCGAGCATAATCGGGGCAATAAAGAAGGGAGTTGCAAGGCGATGCCCGGCCGGCCGGTCAAGACAGTCGGGGCGGCCAGCGCCGAGCCACTGCCAAAAACCTGGATCGGTTCGTCCACGGCCGAAGGAACGGGAGCCCTTCGGCCGGCCGTTCGGCCTCACGCAAAAAGGGCGTAGTGCTGCTGCATGCTGCTGGCGTTCCAGGCCCGCCGGGCACCGAGGCCCCACGGGCTGCCTACCTGCCGGGGGGCCTCGGCGCGCTGGACACAGGCAAGCCGCCGCCACACCGCTAATTCAAGTGCTCGTTTGGCTAGTGCGTCGTTTCCGGGACTTACCCGGGTAACTGCAGGGTACAGGCAGGTGGCCAATCCGGGCGATGCGTTATATCCACGTTGGTCCGCGAACACACTCACACACACTCACTCACACACTAGCGTACGCCAACTACACACTCCACTAGCGTTATTAGCTCGGCTCCTGTCCGGTGACCTCCAGGCCCGGTGCTACCAGTGCAGCCGCGGCGGCCGCGCTGTCACGCACATGGCGGCACTTGTGCTTTTGGCTGCCGCGTCGCCGCTTCGCCGCGGTGGCGGCACGGGACGGGGGCGCCGTCAACAAGTGCGTCGGGCAGGACGCGCCGCGGTGGCCGGCGGGCTGGTGCCGCTGGGGCCGAGGCTGGGGCCGCCAGGTGGACGCCCTGCACGTCCTCCACGTCCTGCTCGGCCAGGATGGGCGCGACGGCGCTTCGGACACGGGGCGACGCGACGTGAGGCGGCACGGTGCGGCGGTCGACTGACTGGCGCGGGCACGGCGGCTCGGCCCGTAGGCCAGGCCCGTCCCGTACCCGTTGCGCGGTGAGGCGCGGCGCGGCGGAGCACGGCGGCGAGGCGCGGGGCGCGGCGGGCACGGCGCGGCGCATGGCGGCACAGGAGGCTCTTCCCTCTCTCTTTCTCACCGCTCGCGCGCTTGCCCCGCTCGCTGCGGCCGCGCCGAGCGCGAGGCTCTCAGGCGCAACACGCGCAGCGAACGCGGCGCGACATTCAGGAGGAAAAGCGAATTTCCCGCCACGCGTTTCCCGCCCTTTTTCCCTCTTCCGGTGAGGAAACCGGGAAAGTGGGTCCTCGCGCTCGCGCGACACCCCCTTGCCTCGTTGTCCGAATGGGGCGGCTACTGGCTTTCAGGAGAGCGGGGGGAGTGAGCCGGCAGCCTGCGATACTCCGCGCGAGAGACTCTCATCGCACGGGGTACTGCCTTTTCACAGAACCACCCTGGCGATACTCCGTGCGCAAGAGACCGCCCAGATGACCACGTCCTGCACACACGCGCGGAGTAACGTCGACTCCGGCCCACCGGCGGACAGACCCAGGCCTTACCATCCAACTCCTCCCTCCAGTGCACAGTGGGCCAGGAGACCGGTGGAGGTGGCCCTAATTCCAGACGCGTTTCGAACCCCAGAGTCACATTCAGCCATCTAGAATTCAGACTGCCTCCACCGGTCTTCTGGCCCACTGTTCAGTGCCGATCCTCTAAAAGCAGTGCTGCTTTTATTCAGTTTAAAATTCATAATGTTACCCTGATCTAATTGGAGGCGAAAGTTGCAAAAGTACCGTAGGTCTTGATAAGGAATTTCAAATGAAAAATAAAGATACACTGTCAAAGACTTTTTATTTTGTAACAAACACAATTACACTATACTGCAATGAATCACATTCATGAGGTCCATGCGGGTTTGCAAGAGAAATTTACATTAATTTGTATCACTACGCTAAATTACGGGGAACAACAAGCGTCATATGTACACCTCATCCACAGGAAGCCAGAACTGGGCTCACCCTCCTGCAGTTTATGTACAAACTTCCAGAATCACACAGCTTCAAGAAGGCTACATCAAGGGTGAAATTAAAAACAGTAAAAAAGAAACTACAGAGGAGATTTATAAAATTAGTATAAAAGCTTTTAATAGCTAGAAAAACACCTTACAAGGCCAAGGTAATTGGATAATTTACATAATTATTTGACATCACACCATAATCAATACAAAAAAAAACCTAATGTAGCTTTTGGAGAAGGGATCTGAACTTATAAAATTTGAGCAATCTTAATCTAGTCTTCAAACAATTGACATCTCTTACAAACCTACATATTAATAGCTGACAATGTTCACTGATTGAAATCTTACCATGCAGAAAAATATTAATATGAAGTACAGTTTTAAGTCCAGAATCAGTTGATAAGTTCAGTATAGATAGACACTGCACGAAACAGGCAACGCATAACTGTCAATGTGATTAAAAAGCATTACAAAAAACCATGGAGCACTGAAGTGGAACATTCGGTTACCATCACTACACTAAAACTTAATGAAACATATCATTTATCACTTAAAAACCTCAGTCTTGCTCGAGATCTTGAAGAACATGCATGTCTTTGTGCAGAGCACAATTAAAATAAAATTTATCACACAGTTCGGACATGAACATAACATGCAAATGAGGATGAGTCAATTGAGTTAAGGGAATGGACTCTTGCCCTCTGAAAGACGGATCACGCACTCTGATGTTAACTCTTGTCGTAAAGCAACCTTCATCATTTTAGAATTTGAATATTTCTTTTTAACAGCCTGAAAGAAAAAAAGATAATTTTAACATCAAGGTTAGATTATAGGCCCAAAGTCAGCTCCAAGATTCGTGTGGCTACTCACTTCATATTTCCAGGTTGAGGATTGCACAATCACAGCAGCCAAAGCCTTTGCACATTCTTCCACCTGTGGCAACTTGTAGGTGGAGTAGTGTACCATCTTGGCATCCCAATTCTGCGGGCCAGTCTTTTTGTTCAACTCACAAATGCTGCAATGCAAGGAGAAAAAGTAGTAGTAGAAGTCGCGAGGCAAAGAAAGAAAAGGCAGCAAATTTTCAAAAATCCTACCACAGAGAAATGTAGAGGGCAGCAGCAGCAATAAGAGAGGGCCGAACGTGGCAGAGAGAATACTCCATCATGGCAAGTTCAAGGAAGAACTTGGAAAAGCAGTGATGAATGGGGTTGGCCTGCAGCAGAGAAGCAATGCAATTCGTAAGGTTTGCTGCAAGGTAAAACAATCAATATTATCTTGAAAGATGTATACCTCTACAACTTTGCTAAACCGGCGAAGGAAGGTAAGAGAAATAGGACGACTGAATTGAAATTCCAAAGTCTTTACAATCTGAACCTCCATGGAAAGAAGTTGTTGCTTGTCGTAAGCATTGTCGGTTATAAAAACAAAGTCACCAATGTCAGGCATATACACTTCCTCATACTTGCAAGCCACATACATGGCAGCTACTCCAACTAACTGCAAGTACCTTTTGCCAACAGTTGGGACGGCCTAAAATTCAAAAAAGGAGTTGAAAATTAGGTGAAACAGGACAGGAATAATGGACAATAAATTGTATAAAACTCACCTGAAGATACCTATCAAGTATTTGAACAGCAAGGTAAAGTGTCTCTTGTAACAAGTGATATTGCAATTGGACATCTACAAGCCAATCAACCAATACAGCTCGCATTCGAGGTGAAATACTTTGTTCGTGCAAGAAGCCTTTTTTGATAGGATACTTCTCCTACAGACACAGGAAAAAAATGTAAGTGACATATCTAAGAGCAAGAAAAATATACAAAGAAGGGGAAGAAGTTACCTCTAGGGAGTACAGGTACTCATAGATTTCGAATACGTAGTCAGCAACTAACAATGGGTTGTTTTCATCTGCTTTGTCAACATCCTCAATGAAATCTTCACGCTGCACTGCAGCATCTTCCTCTGCAAACAGAATCCAGGTAATGTCAGTCTAACAGGCACTTACTCCAGGCAAAAACAAGCTTGTGGCCGCTTACCTTTGACAGACGGTTGGGATTGAGGGGCAGGCAGTACAACCGATGCCACTGAGGTGTTACTGACTGTGCGCTTGACTCTTGATGTTATGTTAGGTCTGGGCAGCGGTCTCACAAAATCTTTGGGAGGCTTTACATTTATAATACTACGAGTTGAGTTGGATCTCTGAATAGGTTTGACAAATTCCCTACACAAACAGAGACATCAAGGGAAATTAATTTTATAAGCACGAGAAGTGAATTGAGTATGAAATTAACACTTACCCTTGCCCTGGGAGGGCACCAGGCTTCAAAGTAGCCACAGAATTGGAGCGCCCAACTACTTTATTACCAATTTCCCCCAAAGCCGAGCGCTTGACACCAAGGGTAGTTGTTGACGTGACAGCCTTCTTAACCCTGATACCATTGAGGTTTTCGGACTGACCGTTCACCTGAAAACAGCAAAAACACAAAGTGAAATAGGTTGAACCCGACAGAAGCAAGTGGCCTAGGAGTCACTGACTCCATTGTTGACAAATCAGCTGAGCATACTAGTGACTCAGGCATCATGCCGGGACAGCGGAAAATAGAAAAATTCGAGATGGCAGCTGAATAATTTTGCCCTCCGAAACAGAAGATTATGTTAAGGAAAACGCCAAGCGAGCGAAAAAAATGGAAACAAGACGAAAATGAAGATGACGTGAGGGCTGGCAGAGACTCCGCGCGAGGGAGGCCACCACACCGCCAAAGACAAATTGCAGTGTCGGCGCACAAACAAAGAGTAGCCAGCAGCAAAACTTGGACGTGAAAGCTAAAACCCACAGCAAAAACACGACAGGAGCCAAATGTGGCGCGCTGAGGCACAGTCGAGACTTGGAGGGTCATCGCCACCCGGAGTGCAAACGACCGAATCGGAACGTACCTGCGTTACCCGAGTGTGCCAAGACATTTTGGGGCTTGAAGGGGCGCGGTAAATTGATTGAAATTCGCGAAGGATAGCTTGTTGATCCCCGTTCGCTTCTCAGGCAGTCTCAACGTGAACCGGTCCCGTTCCCGAAGTCGTTACACCAAAATTTAAAAGGAGCTTGTCAACTCGCCCTCTTATTGGCCGAGAGCTTCTTCTTTTCTTCTTCAACAAAACACGATCGACGGAGGGTAGGTTTAGCCAACAGTCGCGCACAAAATCTCGGACGTGCATGGGGTGAGTTTGAATTTAAATCAGCCAAAGAAAATAAGAAGACATTTAAAAGGGAATTTGAAAACTAACTAGATGAGACAATAAGGAGATGTGCAACTGGACTGTAAGTTGACGTAAAATTGAAATTACTGACGAGAACCATGTTGGTGATGTGGAGCTGTCATTTGTCTGTCAGGTTGTCAGTTTTCGTCCGTGCCACGCAGAGCAGCCGGCAAACACAGTGTTATTCTCGTGAAAAGATCTTAAATTGAGTTCTAAAGCAGTTTTAGACTACAGATAACGATGGCTAATTTAAATTCTGTATTGACCAAGTTCTATAATGAGTACACTGGCCACACATCTAAGAAGTTGAAAATAATCGACGCCTATTTGCTTTATGTACTCCTCACGGGGATCATTCAGTTTGTCTACTGCTGTTTAGTTGGAACTTTTCCATTTAATTCTTTCTTGAGTGGTTTCATATCAACAGTGAGCTGCTTCGTGCTCGGAGGTAACTTGCTTTTAAAATTCAATGCGTGGTTTTACAGTCTGAAACCGTTCTTCTAGCTCAGTTTGCTTCAGTCAAGTCTAATGTTTTAACCTCTCTCTGCTCGACATAATGTATGATACTCTTGTTTTTTGTTTAACAGTGTGTCTCAGACTTCAAGTCAATCCTGAAAACAAAAATCAGTTCTACAGCGTGAGCCCAGAGAGAGCTTTTGCAGACTTCATTTTTGCCCATGTTATTCTGCATCTGGTTGTTATGAATTTCATTGGTTGATACCGAGGTAAGATTTCGCATGTTATTAAAGCTCATTCACAGGACAGGCTCTTGCTCCTGGTACTTTGTCTGATTTGCCCTTATCTTTGACAAATGTAAGATTGTCAAAAGAGAGTAATTTGCCCAGTTATTATGCAGTACCATGCCCATCATGAACATCTACATGATCTGTGTTGGATTTTATTGAGTTTCTGTTTTAGCAATACATTTATTTTTGTCTTGCTCATACAGATGTTTTGGTTTCCTTTGTAGGGAAAATGGAATACTTAAGGATATAACTACAGAGATTATTTGATACTGGTGCTGAACTTCTCTGGACATGCAGCCATTCTGAGAAAAAAATTTTCTATAACTAATTAATTGCTTAGCACACCTCACAAATGCGATTTTTATCAACACATTTAGATTTATAGAGGCACATGTGATGCATTGGCGCTTTGTGATATACCATGTCAAATATAAAAGCATTTTTTGACAGTTTGATTTCTGTTAATGTGCTCTGTCTGTGGAATGTTTTGTATGTGTATGTAAAGCTTGAAAATATATATATGAATTAATAAACATACATAAATTTGTTGTAAAATATTCATAAAAATCCTTTTTTATTTAAAAAAAATTGTTAACATTGTTGAGAAAGCTTGGAAACCAGATGCTGTACATTCAAGCCTGCCTTCATGGAGAGGAGGCTCCAAAATCTAGCAACAGATTGAAAGTATGGTATGTGATTCAGCTCAAGTACTTTCAGCAGGCTGGCACTTGCAATCTGTTGGGCAGTTGTGGAACCACCTGCTGCAGTCTCAGTAAAACCTCTACAATGCGATAAAATCTGTTTCAAAATTTTTTGAAAAGTGGTCCTTGAAGAATAACTAATGCCTCAGGTATGTACCAACTAAAACAGAACACTTACAAGTAGCAGAATGATCATGTAATAATATTGTTAATGACATCTTTACAATTATCACAGTTGTTTTCATTAATCTGGGCAACAGCGAGGCGAATAATTTCACAAATACCTTGGGCGGTTTGTTCAGGAAAATAAGGCTTGCCAATGTCTGGGACATGAACAAATAAACTGCTTTGCCCATTCACACACAATGATGTGTAGTAAGAAAATTCACAGAGGTACCTAAAAAATAAACACCAAAAGGGAAGGTAAACAAGTGTGATAGCCAATAGAAAAAGTTTATGACTAAAAAATTAACAAAGATTACTTACAAACCAGCATCATTGGATGTGCAAAAATTTACTCCAAGTCTTAAATTGTTCAGGTCCTCAGCAAGCCTTTCTACTGCAAGTTTTGTGAAAACACGTTGCTCACTCCCAATACAACATTCCTGTTCAGGTAGCATGTTCCCTTTTACATCAGGCTTACTGTATCCATTCTTAGAAGCACAGGTTTCCAAAGTCAGCGTTTTTGCCTTGTGAGATACCCCGACGTGAATCATCAACTAAAAAATTGAATTACAAGATAAGGATAATGTGCATTAAGAATGAATATTTGCAAAAAAATAAACTTCAAAGTACAAAAACGGTAAAGCACTTACGATTGGTGTGTGTTCTTTTTGAAGTTGACTGATTTTGGTCCACGTTTCTTCATATTCAACTGGTATTTCCTCGATAATGAGATTGATGTCTGTCTCGTCCAAGAGACTCGGAATTAACTTGACAGCTTCCCAGCTAGCATTGACTTTGTACTGTCCGAAAGGTCCAAAACCAGTTACAACGACAGTGTTCTTATTGGCAGACATGCTGGAAGGGAAATTTAACAAATGCATGGATATCCTCAACTTCTAAGGAATTAAATAGACATTGAGGACTATGAGCCATTCAAAAGATAAGACACAAAATTAAAGCATAAAAGTTTTGACAGATAACAAACCTGGGCGAAACCGCAAAGGTTGGCTACCCAAGTTAAAGCAGTTATCGGGAATTATCAGCGATGATTTCATAAATTTCAGGTTGGGCAAAATAAGTTTCTTGTTTTAAGAGCTGTACTTTGATCTCTGTTCGTCTGCCAATGTTTACATTTCCCTCACCCACCATAGTAGCTAGCAGGAGCAAGTGGCAAAATCTTTTGCCACGTGAACTTCTCATACCGACGGCGTTAAACTAGCCTCCAAGCCTTCCGCACTCGTTAGATAACGTTTAGCCGCCTGGTAGGTAGGCATCCCATCCGACAACTACCGAGTGCTCCATGCTACGAGGCTATTCTGCAGTCGTATATGAGAAACTCGGCATAACGTAAGAGTCTGACAACCGCCGATGAGGTAGGCAACCCAACGTACTCACGCGACGATGGGTTGCCTACCTCGGCGGCGATCCAACTCTTACGTTGTGCCGTACTATATATGTGTTGCCTACCTACCCGGCATAGGTACAAATAGTTTTTCGCCCAGAAAAGACTGTTTAGGGCCGTGATGGCCCTGAAAATAGTGTCAGGAGTGCTCAGGGAGTGCTCCAGCCCAATATACTCGAATTTGGAGTATTTTAAAATTTTTGCCCAAACCGTGAAAAAAGCATGATGTATTAGCCTTAGCCTTTTTTCGACGAAAATGGTTGCTAATGGTCTGAGTCCCGGTGCCCAATGGCCCCTGGCAGACATGCCGTCGCCGGGAGGTGCTGCCTCTGGTGGCCACCTCCCGAACTAGTGTTTTGCTCTCTTGGCTTTGACGATCCCCCTTTTCTTTAGGTCGGGGAAGTTTGAGGGTCCTATTTAGGATACCCATAGTTAGTGCAAGCTAGGAATTTCGAAAAGGTGCCACTCTAAGATGTATGCACTTCTTAAATGAATTGGGATGACAGAAAAGGATCCCTAACGGGCAGGCAACCCACCGTGCCACTCTGTTCGATGGGTTGCCTATAGTCTCCCGACGGAAATTCACTTTTTTTTCTAAATTGTCTTTGCATGTAACTTAGGGTAGGAATAAAAACAACCAATGATTAAATTTCTGCAACATTTATTAAGGGTCATGCCATAACTCGTGATGTGTTAAGACAATAGGGTAAAAAAGGAGAAATGACATAACTGTGGTAACAAATTGCAGTAACTCCAACACTACAAAGTCCGCATAGAATAGAGAGCAACAAAAACAACAAAAATGAAAGAGTGATCAACAACTCAAAGAATTTTTCATCACTCGTAATCACCTGCTTGTACATCTTTACATATTTACATGAGTTTCTATGCTTCCCCCTAATAGCTGTTGAAAGTTTCTGATATAGTCTTAACAGCCCATTTGTCTCACATGACTTAGGTTCATTTTCCCTGGAGATGTGGAATTGGATGTGCAAAATAGACTGCTATAAAATCCCAACAACAGAGCAGCATTTGAAACAAGCACCAGTAAGAATGGTCATACATGATATTGATGACAGGCAAACATTTGCACTGAGGTGTCTTCATCAGGCCTCATAGCCCCTCTCTACTTGATAGGACAGCAGACTGTATCACGTAGCACAAAACATTTCCAATTTCAACACTAGCCAAGCCGCCAAGCATGGAGCAACTTTCAAAGGGGTAATACATGTAGCTAGCATTGCTTTCAACAGGGTTTGTCAAAACGGGTGGGCCTTGCCCAAAATTGATAGACCAAGGTACTCCACGTTGTAAGACAAGTGAAACAATAATTTTGAACAACAAAAAGGAAACAAACAAACCAACAAACAAAGAAACAAACAAGGGAGCCTTCAGAAACATCACCAGCCAAACTGCAGAGGCTACACACTCCTAACTAATTAGGTTCACGGGACGAGATCCCCTGTACAAGTAAAGACTAACAAATAAACTTCTTCACATTTTACATTCAAGGCATCACAGAAATTTTCCTTTCAGAGAAACAAAATGTCATCGCCGCAATTTTTGGTCAAAGGTATGATGATGACATGTGAAATCAACTCTTTAAACAAGTATCAATCCAACAAATATTTTAGCAACTTTTAAACTGGTTCACACTACTCTTCAGAGCTGAATCACTATCTGTTTCTTCAACTGAAAGAATTTGCTATAAATTATACATCACTCAGAATATCTCTATTCCCAATTTAAAATTACACACATTTTTTCTCTCAAATAATAATAATAAATTAACATCTTCCGAAACTGCTTCTGCTGTGGATGGTCGTCCAGGGCAGCATGGCATCTCCTTATCCTCGACAGCCTGCAACACGAAAGCACAAACGTTACACGTGGAAAACCACACAATTATTCAAGATGGTAGAACCGAGAGGTGTTTCAGCTAGCCTTTTCTGGCGAGCCGCAGGGCTTTCCCTGCAGCGCCTGGCTGCTGCGCGAGCCAACTTGTGCGAGGTCCGAGGTTAGGTTAGGTTAGGCCCGAGGCTTACCTGTTATGGACTGGCGGCCTCGTGCTGCCCCAGCGAGTCGTCGCTCTCCAGGTAGGTTAGGTTAGGTTAGGTTAGGCCCGAGGCTTACCTGTTATGGACTGGCGGCCTCGTGCTGCCCCAGCGAGTCGTCGCTCTCCAGGTAGGTTAGGTTAGGTTAGGCCCGAGGCTTACCTGTTATGGACTGGCGGCCTCGTGCTGCCCCAGCGAGTCGTCGCTCTCCAGGTAGGTTAGGTTAGGTTAGGTTAGGCCCGAGGCTTACCTGTTATGGACTGGCGGCCTCGTGCTGCCCCAGCGAGTCGTCGCTCTCCAGGTAGGTTAGGTTAGGTTAGGTTAGGCCCGAGGCTTACCTGTTATGGACTGGCGGCCTCGTGCTGCCCCAGCGAGTCGTCGCTCTCCAGGTAGGTGACGTACGAGTCCGTCGAGTCGGGGTGCGCCATGTCCGCGGACAGCGGCCCGTGCGGCCCCGGGCCCCCCAGGGGGTGCGGCCGGCAGTCCCCCGGCGGGGGCCCGGGGACGGGGGCGTGGCCCAGCGGGGGGCCGTGGACAGGGGGCCCTCCGTGCACGTCGTAGCCGTGCATCTGCAACAAGGAGAACAGACCGGGCGTTAGCGCGTGTGGCGTGGAGTGGAGCACGTACTCGTGGGTGCGGGCGGTGCGCGGGCTGGGGCGCGGGGCTGGGGCGGCTCGGGCGTGGCTTGGGGCGGCGGGGCGGGGCGGGGCGGGGCGGGGGGCGAGGCGGGCGCCCACCAGGGCGTACTCCGTACTGTACCAGCGAGGGTGTGGCGGCGGGGCGCGGTGGGGTTGCGGCGGGACGCCTTGCGGGGCGGGGCGGCGGGCGGCGGGGCGGTTTGCCGGTGGAATGGCCCGGGTGGGGGTGGGGCGAGGTGGGGCGAGGTGGGGTAGGAGGTGGGCGCCATAAAGATAAGAGGGCTTCTCGGCGCCTTCCCTCCGGGGGAATCTCGCGAAGGCTGCCATACCGCCCATGCCGCGGCCTGCCCTGCCCTGCCCGGCCCTGCCCGCCACGCACCGCTCCCTCTTTTGCTCTTTTACGGCCGTTACTCCCCAACCCCCTCCCCCTCCACCCCGCCTCTTTTCTTTTAGTCTTTTTATTCGACTCTTAAGACCCTCAGCGTGCGTGCGTGTGTGAGAGTGTGTGCGTGTGTTTGTGCGTGGTGCCGCGCGCACGTGCGCGTCACGGTACACGGCGACATGCGACACACTGTGCGTGTGTGTGAGTGTGCGCACCTTGCCGCCGAGCAATCGCTGCAAAAAAAGAGTTGCAGTCCAATTTTCGATTTTTCGCTACGTAGTAGGTTGGGCTTGTTTTCAAAATTTTTCAAGACGTATTGTCGCGGCAAAGTCGTGTCGGCGTCTGCACTGTAAAACGGCCGTCGGTCTGGCAGGCGCTGGCAGGTCATTCCCCGGTCCTCGGGGTCCTCGGCCCGAAAGGGAAAAGCGCGGGAAAAGGCTGGTAGTGCACTGGAAGGACTGGAAGCCAAGCGGGACGCAAAGGCGACGCCGGCGCGGCGGTACCCCGGCCAGCAGGGCACAACGGACGGACAGACAGACAGACAGACAGACAGACAGACAGACAGACAGACAGACAGACAGGCAGACAGACAGACAGACAGACAGACAGACAGACAGACAGGCAGGCAGACAGACAGACAGACGGGGCCGGCCGACACAAGGCACAGACAGGTGAGACGTTCGGAGGCGCCAAGCTTATCAGTTGCTTCCATAAAACAACAAGGGCGGCGCGGCGGCGGCTAAACCCGCGGGGAATGAGGGGGGGGGAGGGCAGCATGCATGCAGCCTCTAGTAGTCGCCGAGTTAAACCAATTCGTTGACCGGCCGCCTCCTGACTCCAGCGCGGCCTCCGCGGCCTGGGAAGGGCAGACGGCGAGTGTGTGTGTGTCTGTGTGTGTGTGAGTGTGCGCGCATCGTGTGCGGTCGACGACATGCGTTCGCGGACGGCGGGGCGGCGGTGCGGCGGGCAGCCAGGCGGCGTGGACACACAGACACGGCCGCCTTTGCGGCAGCCCCGTCGCGCCGCCCCGCCGCACCCGCCGCACGGCCAAGGAAAAACGGATCACTCTGAGAGTAGGGCCTCATTTGGAAGACGCGGCCAAAATTCGAGACGCGTTTTGAGCTCCAGAGTCGCTTCATGGGATTCGAACCGAACGTGTGACCCCACCAATGGATTGCTCTCTGAACGAGCAATCCATTGGTGGGGTCACACGTTCGGTTCGAGTCCTGCTTAGCGACTCTGGCGCTCAAAACGCGTCTGGGATTTTGGCCGCCTCCACCGGTCTTCCGGCCCACTGTGCGCCCTCGGCCTCGCCCTCGGCCTGGCCGGCGTCATGTTAAATTCGAGCGGCGGCGACGTCCGAGGGGGCGGGAGAGCGGCGGAGCGGCCGGGTGGGGGGTGGGTGGGGGACCCGTCCTGGCGGCGTTCCAACTTCTCCAGCGCAGGCTCCAGGCGCCTCTACCTCTGCCAGCGAGCCAGCGAGCCTGGAGTGTGGCTGCGCCAGGCCTGACTTAGCCAGGCCTGCCTGCCTGGCTCTCTTGGCTCCAGCGCGGCGACCGGCGCGACCGGCGGGACCAGAGCCACTTGAACAGTGATAAGGCGGTCTGGAGAGCGGCCGGCCGGACGGGGCTCCGCAGGACTGGCTCCGAGGCCGTCTGGGCCGCAGGGGCCTAAGGGCGCCGAGCCGCGCCAGACGCCATCACCGTCGCCAGTGATGGCCGTCCACAAACAACGTAGCACGGAACGAAAAACTCCCAAAAATCCTGCTCGCGAGGCGCACCGCCGTGCGAGTGAGAGGGGAGAAGGCGTAGAGGACCACCTGCCCGAGGGCGGCCTGGTGCTGGCTGCCTTCCTGCGAGAAAATCCATCCCGGCTTGAACCCCGACCTCCACCCTCGGTCGACTCATCCATCCCTACACCGCGTGCTGCCGCGCTGCCGCGCCATCTGTCTGCAGGCCTAGCTCTGTCTCTCCCGCACTCGTGGGGCGCCCCACCACGCCCCGCGGGCCGCGGCGGCGCGAGAGAGACAGAGCTACTGGCCAACAATTAACCGAAACAGAATACGATAATGCATCGCGCGTGCGGCCCGTCTCTCTCGCACTCGCAGCCAGGGTGCGAGGGGGGCAGAGCGAGGTGAGCGTGGCGAGGGTGGCTGGTGGAAAAAAGGCACACGCGCCAGACGCCGCCAGACGGCCGCCCCGCCCCGCCCCGCCCCGCCCCGCGGTGCCACGCCCAAGCCCAGGTGTTGGCTGCCCCGCGCGCCGCGTGACTCACTGCAAGACCCACTGCGTGACCGCGACACCGCGCAGTGGGCAAGAAGACCAGTGGAGGCGCTCAAAATCCCGAGTGTCCTTCTGGCCAGAAGTACTCGCGTCTGTTGTGGTGTCAGCGCACCGATGGAGCGCCGTCGAAGCACGAATTCAACTCCGAGGCTTGATGCTATACGCCCGGGGCAGCTCATGCCTAATGGAGGGAGGCTGCAACCCGCAGTCACCCTGGAAGGTCTGGCAGGGCGGATTCCCCCCCCCCTCCCTCCCTCAAGCCCATGCATATGCACACACGGGCATCCCCCTCACCCACACTCACTCTCACAGACACACCCCGCGAGGACGGACTACCCCGCCCCGCCGTGTCCGAAACCGTCACCACCCCGTCAGCCGCGCCGCACAGTCACGCAGCGTCACAGCGAGGTAACCACCCCGTCACAGGGCCCCGCACAGTGGGCCAGAAGATCGGCGGAGGTGGAGAAAACTCTAGATGCGTTTTGAGCTCCAGAGTCGCTAAACAGGACTCGAATCTACCGTGTGACCCCACCAATGGATTCCTCGTTCGGAGAGCAATCCATTGGTGGGGTCACACGTTCGGGTCGTCCCATTCAGCGACTCTGGAGCTCAAAACGCGTCTAGAGTTTTGTCCGCCTCCACCGGTCTTCCGGCAAATCCACTGTGCCCCGCCCCCACGGCGTCGAGACTTCCTCCTGGTCGACGCGGTCACCACTTCTGTCTCACTCGCACCTACGCGGGCCGCCCCGTGAGTGCGAGAGAGACGGAAGCACTGCCGGTGCAGGGCGCAAGTGGGTCGCTTGGAGGCCTGTCAGCTGCACGTCAGTCGCGTGTCAGTCGCGTGTCAGCGAGTCAGTCGTCAGTCCGTCGGCCGCCCCGTCGCGTGGGCCGTGCCGTTCCGTTTCCGGTATGAAAGACTAATCGTGCGGCGCAGCGCGTCGCCGGGCCGCGCCGGGCTGTCCGTCGCGAAAAAGGGCGGCAACGGCAAAAAACGGACAGTCAACACGCCACGCCAGCGAGGCGATCTAATTTGGGCGGGTATTGCAAACAGAGTGAGGGTGATTTCCCCCTTCCCCTTCTTTGCCGCCCCTGTGGTCGACCCAGCCGGCCAGACCCAGCAGCCAGGCAGTGTGGCAGCGCCAGCCACCCCCTCGGCGGAAGACGCGACCCAGTTCCCTGCCAGTGCCCTGCCAGTGCCCTGCACCTGGTGGACGGGCCGCCGCACGCCGCGCCGCCAGTGGCGCCCTCTCACGGCGGGGAGAAGAGTTCAGGAGTCGCTGAATGGGGCTCGAACCGAGCGTGTGACCCCACCAATGGATTGCTCTCTGAACGAGGAATCCATTGGTGGGGTCACACGTTCGGTTCGAGTCCCATTTAGCGACTCTGGAGCTCAAAACGCGTCGGGAGTTTTGGCCGTCGGGTGCATTCGGGTCACGCCTCCGCCGTCCGCTGCGGCGCCGAGTCTGCCGCGCCGTGCCGCGCCTGCCCGGTAGGCCGGTACCGGTACTGGTAGGCCGGCGGGCCCTCCCGGCCCGGGCGGCAGTGGCGGCACAGCCTCAAACGAATCGCCTTCACGTTCCGAAAAAGGGGCCCGGCTGCTGTCTCTCTCGCACTCCTGGGGAGTGCCGGCCGGTGCCGGCGAGCTGCATGAGTGCGAGAGAGACAGAGGCCGGGGACGTGAGCGTGACGCGCGGGGCGGCGCAGAGCGGCCATTTGGACCGCGGCTCCGGCAGTGGGCCAGAAGACCGGTGGAGGCGGACAAAACTCCAGACGCGTTTTGAGCTCCAGAGTCGCTAAATGGGACTCGAACCGAACGAGTACCCCACCAATGGATTGCTCTTCGATCGAGGAATCCATTGGTGGGGTCACACGTTCGGTTCGAGTCCCATTTAGCGACTCTGCAGCTCAAAACGCGTCCAGAGTTTTGTCCGCCTCCGGTCGTCTGGCCCACTGTGCGCCAGGCTCCGCGGCACGGAGGCCTAGAGCTGCTAGCCTCGTCGGGCTTTTGTGTGGCGAGCAGAGCACACAGCCTCGAGTTCAGTCTCGCGACGCGCCGCCGAAAAGGGGAAAAGGGGGGGGGGAAGTATTGACAGCGAGGTTACCTCCACACACACAGAAAAAAAAGGCCAACAAAAAAGAGAAAACAACTGAAACAATTTTTTGAAAACGCCCAGCACAAATCAAAAAGTAACTAAGAAATTCTGGCGCGAGTTTGTCCGCCTAACCTAACCTCGCCGGCCTCCCATTCGTTCCCGTCGTGAAAGGCCGTCACTCATTGGACGGCCCGGGCCGACGGAAGAAAAAGAAAAGCAAAAAAAAAGAGAAGAAAGAAAAAACGAAAAGAAAAAGGGGTTATCGAGACGAGCCAAAGGGAAGAAGACTGTCCGTCATTCTCTAATGGAGAGATGGGCCTGCCTGCCTGGCTGCCTGCCTGGCTGCCTGCTGGTCTGGCTGCCTGCCGCCCCTGATTCGTTTGATTTCCACCGGGAAATTCGATTCGGGAAGCCGGAAAACTGCCTTCGCAGGTCCAAAGTTTTCCGGGCGCTCTTCCAAACGCTGTTAAAATGCCGCGATGTGCGATTGGGGTACTACTTTGCTCCGGCGGCGCGGCCACCTCGCTTTCCTCGGAAAATCACATTTTCGAATGAAAGGGGGAGGGGGAAGGCCGAGCGAACGCGCTGGGGAAACGTGTGACCCCACCAATGAATTCCTCGTTCGGAGAGCGATCCATTGGTGGGGTCACACGTTCGGTTCGAGCCCCGTTTAGCGAATCTGGAGCTCAAAACGCGTCTGGAGTTTTGGCCGCCTCCACCGGTCTTCTGGTCCACTGTGCGGGGGCCTCCTCGCTTTTCCGTCGTCTGTCTGCGACGCCGCGACGTCTGTCCCGTGTTCGACAAAGCACGAACGGCAATGCAGCCAGCCGAGCCGAGCCGAGCCGAGGAGACTGGCCCCTGAAATATGCAGGGGACAGCGCGGACCGTGTTCTAGTTAGCGCGGTAAGAAGCTCTCCTCCCCTCTGTGAATCAGATATAAATGGTGAATTATTGAGTTAGGGCTGTGTTCTGCAGATTCTTTCTCTCTTTCGCTCCCTTTCCCCCTCGTGGGGGCTACCTCCCCGCACCTCCCCGCACCGCGCCCATGCTGAGTTTGTTTAGCCGTGTGTTTGTTTTGGTCTGGGTGACGGGGAGGGGGAGGGGCAGAAGTCCCGGTGGGTCTCGCGGATGGCCGGGATGGATCATATGTCGGGGTGGGCCAAAGGGGTGTGTGCGCACGTGTGTGTGAGTGACAGTGTGGGGCACAGGGGCATGGGTGTGCGCGCTGCGGTCGCGACTCAAGTCGCAGGCCGCCCTATGCAGTGGGGGTGGAAGAACCCGTGACAGTGGGCCAGAAGGCCGGTGGGGGCGGTCAAAATCCCGGACGCGTTTTGAGCTCCAGCGTCGCTAAATGGGACTCGAATCGAACGTGTGACCCCACCAATGGATTGCTCTCCGGACGAGGAATCCATTGGTGGGGTCACACGTTCGGTTCGAGTCCCATTTGGCGACTCTGGAGCTCAAAACGCGTCTAGAGTTTCGGCCGCCTGCGCCGGTGTCCTGGAAAGTGGCTCACCTGGTTGACGAGGTGCTGGAAGGGCGGCGTGGTGGGGTCCAGCCGCTCCAGGTCCGTGTGCAGCGCGAAGTCCGACAGCGCCTTCCAGGGCGGTTGGTAGGACTGCACCTCGATGGGGTTCATGCCGAGCGGGGACTCGTGCCGCACCGGCGAGCTGGCCACCATGGGGATGCCTTGCATCGAGCCGTAGCCCATCTTGCGGCCGTCCTGCAGCACCCAGCACTACGCACGTTAGACACTGGCAAGCCCTCATTTCCTCATTTTTCATTTTCTTGCTTGTTGTAAAAAAAAAAGTTTAACACAAGAAAATTTTTCTGCATACAAGAAAAAAAGTTTGGATAAAGAAACATTTTCTTTTAAAAAAAAAGGCTATTTTTTTAAATCTAAGAAGTCATTTTTCTTTTGTCATTCAGCCTCACAAGGTTCGCCGAAAACCCCTTTCAAGCACCTTTTCGAACAACACCGAGAAGTTAGATCCGAAATCAATGCTTCCGCGTGGGAACTCCAAGCGCTTCAAGCCGCCACAGTGTAATCTCTGCTTTCCTAATTCGGAAACCCGTGTTTCTTTCCTAACGAGCAAACAGAGAAAAAAGGGGGGGGGGGGAAATCGTCGAGGGTCGTTGCCCAGATGCCACCGCCGCGATGCGGCGCGTCTAGGAGCGAAACCAATCAGCAGCAACAAGGGAAGGTAGTGAAATAAAAGGGGAGTCAAAATATGGGACAAATTGATGGGGCGGGCCATTAGGGCCGAAACGACGCGGCGGCAACAACAACAACAACAAGAACAACAACAAGGTCCGCACGCGCCCCAAGGCCTAATGAGGGCGACATTCGGTGACGCTGCCCATCACTGCTCCATTACCAGGAGGGTACCAGGGGTGCATCTCCTGACGCTCTCTCTCTCTCTCTCTCTCTCTCTCTCTCTCTCTCTCTCTCTCTCTCTCTCTCTCTCTCTCAGGGCGTCCCACAGGGGGTGCGAGGGAGACAGAGCGACGAAGCGCACTGGGGATATTGATGGGGCCGGCCTATCGGCGAGGCGATCGAGGGGCCTAACGTGTCGCACCAGACAAATCATTACGCCAGGCCGGGAGGGGGGGGGAGGGGGGCGCCTCGCACACTGCCAAGGTGGCCGCGCGACCGGAAGGCGACCATCAGTCAAACGCCGACGAATGAAAACCATGCGCGCCAAACAAACGGATTTCGAAAACGGCCTCGTTTTTCACGCTTCGAGCGGGAATCGATCCCGGCTCTCTACTGGCTGTGGTCGGGTGACCGGTGGAGGCGGCCAAAATCCCGCACGCGTTTTGAGCTCCAGAGTCGGTGAATGGGACTCGAACCGAGCGTGTGACCCCACCAATGGACTCCTCGTTCGGAGAGCAATCCATTGGTGGGGTCACACGGTCGGTTCGAGTCCCATTTAGCGACTCTGGGGCTCAAAACGCGTCCGGGATTTTGGACCGCCTCCACTGTGCAGGGGCTTGCTCGACTCGGCTCCGCTCTGACAGACGCACGTCCGGGCCCAGTAGCTAGGCAATGCCACTGCCTGCCCCGCCCCTCGACGTGAACACCGATGTCTCGATAACGTCGTCTGGACGGTCTGGACTTCGAGGTAAAGACATGACGGCAAAGGGCGAGGCGGCCACTGACAGGCGGACGGACGGACGGACGGACAGACAGACAGACAGACAGACAGACAGACAGACAGACAGAGAAAACGGATGCTTTGTTTCATCAATAGGTATGCTGCGGCCAAATCCAAATTTTTCAACTTTCCAGAACAAAGCATCACCACCACCCTGCATGCATCGTGAGCTTGGACGAACTCACGAAAGTAGAGCCAGTTCTACTCGAGGGTACGCAGCACACTGGATTGGTACAGCATGCCTGCACGGACACTGGTAGACAGCCTTGTATTACATGAACTCATGAAGCAGCTTCGAGTGTGCTGGCTCCGCTGGCTCCAGTGTACTGTATACCCATTTTATTCCAGTGCCTGCCCCTTGGGATTGACCCGAGCCGTCGCTACGAGGTGCGAACCTGCCTGCAGACTCGTCGCTCTGTCTCCCTCGCACCTGTACGGCGCGCCCCACGAGTGCGAGAGAGACAGAGCGACGAGAACGACTCTCGGTCTGCTGCAGCCTTCCTGCTCACGGTGCTCCCGGTGCCAATCCAGCCAATCCCCTGTCCGCCCAGTCCAGTCCTGGAGGCTGGAGGCTGCAGGCGCCTGGAGTCCGGACCGTCCGGACGGCAGTGAGGCAACACCAGTAGCCGTGCCTGCGCTGTCGACGCTCTCTCTCTCTCTCTCTCTCTCTCTCTCTCTCTCTCTCTCTCTCTCTCTCTCTCTCTCTCTCTCTCTCTCTCTCTCCCCCTCTCCGTCGGGGTGCGAGAGAGACAGGCGGGCCAGACCAAATGAAGGCGGATTTGACGAACCTGACGGACGGGATGCCAGCGGGGCGCGTTCGGAGAGCGAAAAGACGAGTTTCCGAACGCAGTCCGTCCGGGCCATGCCAGCAAGGCTAGCGATGATGCCGCCGCCCGCGAATCGTCGGAACGGACCAAGTCCCAGCAACTTTGTACGTAAGCAACTGCGTACGACAGGTAGGCAAGTGGCTACGCGTCAAGGTAGGTAAAAAGCATGGCTTCACCCCCTCTGTCTCTCTTCAAAATTTGTGGACTGGATGCACTGGCTGCAACGCACGGCGACCCACATTCCACGTCCTTTACGCTCCCTCGCGTCCCTCCACCCGCATGGCCTGCACGGCCTGGCCTGGCCACGCCACTGGGCGCACCGAGACAGGTGCGAGCCTCTCTCCGGGCTTTACTGGGAAGTGCAGTGTAAGCGCCGCAATGCGTCTTTTCCTGAAACGCGGCGACTTGACTCATCCAATGTTGCAGACGACACGCTTCGGGGAGAAAGGCTGCGGCGCACGCACGCACACACACACACACACGAACTGACACATGAGCCCAGAGGTTCATCATCCGCGCCTGACAGTAGGCCACCTCCTCGCCGAGGAACAGAAAAACGCGACAAACTCGTGGACCAATTCAAAGTCCGGCCGCACCGGCCGATATGCGGGCTGCGTCGCTGTGCGCTGCTACACCGAGAAAACACCGTCCCCGTCGTCCCGGAGCGCGTTGCCTGGCGTGGCCTTTGTCGGTGGCAAGTCTCCCATGACAGGACATGGCGCCTGGAGCGCCTGGAGCGCCTGGAGCGGGGCGCCTTTCCGGCTGGACAACGCACTCCAGGACTCCAGTGGAGGCACTCGCCGAAACTCAAGACGCGTTTTGAGCTCCAGAGTCGCTAAATGGGACTCGAACCGAACGTGTGACCCCACCAATGGATTGCTCTCCGGACGAGGAATCCATTGGTGGGGTCACACGTTCGGTTCGAGTCCCAACTAGCGACTCTGGAGCTCAAAACGCGTCTAGAGTTTTGACCGACGGCCTGGTCTACTGGCCCACCGTGCAATGGCTGCTGCAGCGTTTTTGCACGTTTTTTTGACTTTTTGTTTTTGTTGTTGACAAATTTTTAATATTATACTGAAGAATACATAATTTCGGTCAATTCAATTTACTCTTTTTTTATCACTCACAAGCGGGGGAGTAGCATGCGCATCGCGCGCGCGCTGCTGGTTTGAAAAGCAGCATTATTATTTTGCCCCGATGTGTGCGGGGACATGCCGCTTACAACCCAATTTCGGCCACGAACCGTTATGAAGGGAGGCGAGGCGGGGTGAGGGATCGCCGCGACCCAAGAGAATACACACACGCACACACACGCACACACACACACACGCACACACTCACGCGCGTGAACGCACGCCCGCAGACACTCGCACACAAACATAGGGGCACGCAAACACACACACACAGAAGTCTGTTTGCCTCAGCATCCTTGTTATACCCCCAAAACTCTGGCTGCGTTAAAGCGCACGGGGCCTTCGAGGGGGTGGCTGGGGGTGGCTGGGGGCGGCGGGGGCGGCGCGGGGGGTGGCGGGGGCGGCCCGCGACCCACGCGCGATGTTTGCCGACGTGCCGGTGACACGGCGCGACGCGCTGTGTGGCGCGCTGTGTGGCACACTGTGTGACTGGCAGCGTCACTGACACGTCATTGACTCGTCAACGGCCACGTCACTGGCAGTGCCGTGCCAATAATGCAGCAGCGTTCGTGTTCGGCCACTACACTGGTCGCGCGCTATTGGCAGGTGCAGGGCGTGCATGCGGCCGGAAGGCCCCGTCAAAGCGACCCGAAAGTGTGCTGGTCAAAAATTCAGACGCCCGTCAGAACAACGGTGCTATCACAATTTTTCCAAAGATCTCGCGCGGGGAAAAAAATGTAAACGGGCTTTTTGAGGGTAATTTTTGCGCGGGAAACTGGCGGGAAACAGACTTTCTCTACCGAAAGTGGACTTTGATTCCGTCAATAAAAGACGCTTCCTGACCGCCAAAAAATTGCGAAAAGGGCCATTTTCTCCGCGAAAATTGGCGCGGCCCGGCGGCCCGGCCCATGGGGCAGCCAGGGTCTCGGCCGGCGGTAGCAGGCGGTGGCAGCCGCGCGGCCCGGAACCCCGGAACAAAAACAAAACGATCTGATAAGAGATAAGACTGCCTCGCGAATGAGCGCGCGGCCAAAAATAAAAGAATGCGTGACGAGACGAAACGACGGAACGACGGAGCGACGGTCATGGCGGCCAGACCAGGCCGGACGGCCTGGAGGGGAGATAACGACCAAATCCCCGACACTGGCGGACCCGCTGGGCGGACCGCGGGCCGCGCCTCCGGACAGGTGGTGCACTGGCTCGACCTGCACAGTGGGCCAGAGGACCGGAGGCGGCGGCCCAAACTCCAGACGCGTTTTGTGCTCCTGAGTCGCGAAATGGGACTCGAACCAAGCGTGTGACCTCACCAATGGATTCCTCATTCGGAGAGCAATCCATTGATGGGGACACACGTTCGGGTCGAGTCCCATTTAGAGACTCTGGAGCTCAAAACGCGTCGAGAGTTTTGGCCGCCTCCTCCGGACTCCTGGCCCACTGTGGTGCACCTGGCTCGACCCGGCTCGACCTGGCGGACCCCGATAAGCCGGCATGCTCCGGCACCAACGGCCCGCCAGCCCAAATACCTCCTCGAGTCGCCAACAATGTTCAAAACAAGACTTTGGTCCAAAAACAGGCGAACTGCGCCTTCCATTCCGAGCAGTCCTTGCTTCGTGGCGCTGTCTCTCTCGCCCCCAGGCAACGTCCTGCGAGTGCGAGAGAGACGGCATGGCAGCCCTGTGCCGCGCTTCCGCCTCCCTCAAGGTCGGACCCATTTTGGACCGCGGCTGTGGACCCGACCTGGACCCAACCTGGACCAGCGCGGCTGCTGGCTGGGCTGGGCCGGCTGCTCCCCCCGCCAGATAGGGTTACCCTGTTTGGCTGGCTGCACGGATAATACAGCAGTGTGGGCGCCTGGGCAAATAGCCCCGCTCCGCCCCGCCCCGCCCGCCCCGCCCGCCCCGCCCGCCCCGCCCCGCCCCGCCCCGCCCCGCCCCGCCCCGCCCCGCCCAACACCCGATAGCCGTCGGGCCGTCGCTACCCCTTCCTAGCATCCCCCGATGCGACGCCCGGCCACGCAAGTGGCTCGCGCTGTCTAGCGTCGCCACTGTAAAAGTGGTAGGCGGACGATTAATCACTAATCAAGGTGCGGTAGGGGCTTTCGGCTACGCTTCGAGGCAAACTCGGTGACAGCGAACAGTGCACAGTGGGCCAGAAGACCGGCGGAGGCGGACAGAACTCAAGGCACGTTTTGAGCTCCAGAGTCGCTAAACAGGAGTCGAACCGAACGTGTGACCCCACCAATGGGTTGCTCTCCAGAACGAGGAGTCCATTGGTGGGGTCACACGTTTGGTTCGAGTCCCATTCAGCGACTCTGGAGCTCAAAACGCGCCTAGAGTTTCGGCCGCCTCCACCGGCGTTGGCGGGGATTCGATCCGTTACCTTCTCCTGCTGCTGCTGCTGCTTCATGGCGATGGCGCGCTTCTTGTCCTTGCAGCGCTTGTTCTGAAACCAGACCCGGATGACGCGCGGGGACAGCTGCGTCATCTCCACCAGCTGCTCCTTCATGAGCGCGTCGGGCCGGGGGTTGGCGGAGTAGCAGGTCCGCAGCGTGTGGAGCTGCTTCTCGTTGAGCACGGTGCGGACGCGCGTCGGCTTGCCGTCCCCCGGCGCCTTGCCCGAGCCGCGGCCGCCGCCCCCGGACTCGCGACCGTGCGACGTCTTGTGGGACCCCGACTCGGAGGAATCTGCGGACACACAGTTAGCACACTGTCAAACGACTAAAAAAAAGAGAGAAAAATCTAAAATAATGCAAAATTTTTAAAAAAAATCGAAGTGATAAGAAGGACGGGGTTGGACAGATAAAGACAGACAGACAGACAGACAGACAGACAGACAGGCAGACAGACAGGCAGACAGAGAGCGCACACGTTCACACACACACACACACACACACACACACAGAAAATCACGACCGACGACAATATTATGGTACTCCAGGTAATACGATACTGGATTACCGCGCGAGTCCCTGCTGGTTATCATCCACCGACGACGTCCTCCTCGGTCGGCGCGGCAACAGGTTCGGGACTAATGTCACCCCCTTCCCCCTCCCCCTGCCCCCACGGGCCCGGTAGGCCCGGCGTGGCGCGGGGTGCGGGCAAATGAGTGGCTCGCCGTGGCTCGGCGTGGCCGGGCGGTGCGGTCAGCACCACCCCGACGCCTGCACGGCTCCGCGGCCCGACGGTGTCACGTGTATAATCTGCATAAGCCCGCGCAGCGCGACGCCACGCGACGCCATGGCGACGCACGCCGCGTGTTTGCGAGGCGGCAACAACAACATCGACGGCACGCACGCACAGTGGGCCAGAAGACCGGCACTCCAGACGCGTTTTGCGCTCCAGAGTCGCCAAATGGGACTCGAACCGAACGTGTGACCCCACCAATGGATTGCTCTCCGAACGAGGAATCCATTGGTGGGGTCACACGTTCGGTTCGAGTCCTGTTCAGCGACTCTGGAGCTCAAAACGCGTCTGGAGTTTCGGCCGCCAGCGCCGGTCTTCTGGCAAATCCGCTGCGGTCCGCATGCACGCGGGATGGATGAATCACTCGCACTAATGAACCAATGAATCAATGAATGACCCGGAAGTACTCTCGGCGCGGCGGAGGGACGCCATCGCCGCCATAGTGGTGGCAATGGGGTGCAACGCGGGGCGGCGGGGCGGCGCGGGGAGAGATTACGGAAGGGTGGTTAAGACGGCCGCCAATGCTTTCCCCATGCGTGCGAGGGAGACAGAAGGCGCTGCCCCGAATCGGTCCTCCGACGCAGGGCGTGCGAGTCGGCAGCTGAGCGCCACTGGGCATGCCGGCGCACGGTGTCGTGGCGGGGCGGGGCGGGGCGGGGCGGGGCGGGGCGGGGCGGGGCGGGGCGGGGCGGGGCGCGACCCCTCGTCGGATTGTCGCATTACTCTGTGGATTGAGACGTGACGCGTGGCGGGGAGCGTCCCTAAAGCGGAACCCCAGTTCGGCCCTGAGACCGCTAATTTGACGAGGTTGCGTCCGCTCCTGGAAGCAGCGAAGGAAAGATGACTTTGTTTTTCAATTGCAGTCCCAGCTTCGGCGGCCATCCGCTGCACTGGTTACTGCGAATTGCAAGACGCCTGCCTTTTCGTCTCTCCCTCTCCAAAGAGTGGAGTCTTCCTGGCCGAACTTGTGGCAGTGTAGGGTCGGGCTGTGAGGCGGAACACCTCGGGCGCCGCCGGTCTGGCCGTGGTGGCTGGCTTGGGCTGGCTGCAGTGCCCTGGCAGTGCCTGCACCGTGCCTGCACTGGCTGCAGTGCTAACGACAAGCTCGTTTTCTGCTTCACCCTCACTCACAGTGGCGTGCCGGGCCTGGCCACCCACCCTTCCGCGTCACCGCCTTGCCAGAGCCTCCTTCCCCGTGACGAGGGAACAACCAGGCAACGCCAGCCGGGCCTGGGAACTGTCACATGGTCCAGCGAGGGGGCGTCGCTCTGCGTCGCTCGCAGTGCAGTGTCTCGCCGCCTCGCCGATCAGCCACGGCGAAAAGGACGACGCACAGTGGGCCAGAAGACCGGTGGAGGCGGCCGAAACTCCAGACGCGTTTTGAGCTCCAGAGTCGCTGAATAGGACTCGAACCGAACGTGTGACCCCACCAATGGATTCCTCGTTCGGAGAGCAATCCATTGGTGGGGTCACACGTTCGGTTCGAGTCCTGTTTAGCGACTCTGGAGCTCAAAACGCGTCTAGAGTTTCGACCCACCGCGCCATGCGACTTTTGGCGCGGGCTGTACCGTACACTGCAAGACGCGGTAGCCAGTGTAGCCACACGCCGCAGCGGCAGCGTGCGGCAGCCCTTCGCTTTTATGAGGGAATGAGCCTCATTGACGCCCAGGTGCGAAGCTTTGTCGGCGACCGGCTCGCTGTGTGTGTGTGTGTGTGTGCGAGAGAGAGAGAGAGAGAGAGAGAGAGAGAGAGAGAGAGAGAGAGAGAGAGAGAGAGAGAGAGAGAGAGAGAGAGAGAGAGAGGCCGTCGGTCCGAAGAATGCGGCGACAGAGAGGCGAGGCGCCCGGTGCGGTGTCTGCCACGCGACAGGGTCCCCCCCCCCCAACCTCCCTGGTCCGAGGCGGCGTAATTTCAAATTCAGTAAAACACTGCCAGTGTATGTGTTAATGTAATGTCCAGCACCCCCGGGCCAAGCCAGACCAACCCCGGCCAAGCTTTGTGCATAACTAAGCCCGCTGGCCAACACTTGGCACTCTCTCTCTCTCCCTCGCTCGCACTAGTATAGCCGGCCCCACCCCTTCCCTTCGCAATCACCAATCGCTTTTAGTGTTCAAACCACTCGATTATTTATTAATTTCGCAAAAGCATTTTGCGAAAAAATTTTGACCCGCTTTGACCTTGTTTCCGAGTAAGTAGTAAATAGATTTTCCCCAACTGCTGTACCTGGGTAATTCACCGAGTGGCGCGAAATCTTTTTTCACGGTGCACCGAACGCTAAGCCGCTAACTACCCCGTGACCCCACTTACCAAGTAGTTCACACTTCGGCCTGGCTTTGCGTGGCTTTGCGTGGCTTTGGCCCGGCCTGCCCGGTTTGCCGGACCAAGCTCCCCTCCGCTCTCGCGGTCCGGTCCTCCGGTCCTCCGGTCATCGCAAAGTGATTAGGCATTACCATAACACGGGCCAAAGCCCGGCAGCGCAACGCAAGCAAACACCGGTGGAGGCGGTCAAAGTCCCGGACGCGTTTTGAGCCCCAGAGTCGCCAAATGGGATTCGAACCGAAAGGGTGACCCCACCAGTGGATTCCTCGTTCGGAGAGCAATCCATTGGTGGGGTCACACGTTGGGTTCGAGTCCCATTTAGCGACTCTGGGGCTCAAAACGCGTCCGGAGTTTTAATCGCTTCCACCCGGTCATCTGGCCCACTGTGCAACCGACGAGAACTTTGTACTAGGTTGCCCTTTCTTGAACTTAGACGGATGATTACTCCACACGACTAAAAACTAACAATATTTGGGCAGTTGTTTTCACACAGAATTTATTTTTGCAGTGGTTCAGTTGAGAGGCCGTTGTTTTGGCGCGGCGGAGCGCGTTCCCAGTTGACTTTTGGCCTCTTCCTGGCAGGGTCGCTCTCTCGCTCTCGCAGTGTCCCTTGCTTACAGTGAGGCAGCCCCTCCGCCGCGGCGGCCCGCCATCGAGGGGTATTCAAACAGGGGGTCCAAACAGAATCCGAAAACGAAACGGAGGACGAGGAGGGAGAAAAAGCCGAGAAAGACAGAGACGGACGGGCAGGCGGCTGCAAGCGGCAGAAGCGGCTGGAGCGAGCGTTGTGCAAATAGAGGAGCCGGGCCGTTCTCAAAATGACGTCACACAGTCGCGCCTCGCTCGACGCGCCCGTCGCACAGTGGATTTGCCAAAAGACCGGTGGAAGTGGCCAAGATCTAGACGCGTTTCGAGCTCCAGAGTCGCTAAATGGGACTCGGACCGAACGTGTGACCCCACCAATGGACTGCTCTCCGAACGAGGAATCCATTGGTGGGGTCACACGTTCGGTTCGAGTCCTGTTTAGCGACTCTGGAGCTCAAAACGCGTCTAGAGGTTTGGCCGCCCCCACCGGTCTTCTGGCCCACTGTGCCCCGCCTTCTTCCCCGCGCGCTTAGATTTAAAGGGTGGCGGGGCTTGGGCTGGCCGGGCGGTGGAGGGGGTGGCGCTAAGCAGGCTCGGGGCCTGCTCCGCCTGCTCGGGGCTCCGCAGGGGATGCGCCTAAAAGATTCAGAGACAAGGCGTGAAGGGGGGCACCCGTTTGCGGCCGTCAAAAGCCTTTCAGTGCTGCAACACGCGGCGCGGGCTGCCTCCGAGCGGCGTCGCTCTCTCCCTCTCTCTCCCTCTCCTCTCTCGCGGGGAGCGAGAGAGAGGGTCCGCTCGGCAGCAGTCCGCCGCGTGGCTGCGCCAGGGCTGCGCGGCAGCGCGGCGGCCTGCAAGGGCGCTATTTTCAGTGGAGCAACAACGAGGGCCGGAGGCATGGCATGGCGCGGCTCGGCGGCCACCCACCAACACCACACCAAAATAATCGCCAGTAAACACTCCCTTGATTGACGCCTCGCCACCGTCGCGCACCGACCCCCGAAATCCTCATCGCGTTTTGGGCTCCGGAGTCGCTGAATGGGACTCGAACCGAACGTGTGACCCCACCACCAATGGATTCCTCGTTCGGAGAGCAATCCATTGGTGGGGTCACACGTTCGTTTCGCGTCCCATTTAGCGACTCTGGAGGTCACAACGCGTCCGGGATTTGGACCGCCTGCCCACTGCGCACCGCCCTCTCGGCTCAGCTGCCGACTCTGTCACCGCCTTGTAATCGCCCAATAGTCGGACGGGCCGCGCTAATTCAATTTACAGCGCCACGGTCCGTCGCGCCGCGGTGCGTCGCTCTCTCTCGCACTCACGGGGCGAGCCAGGCGGGCCGCCACCGTGCAGGCCTGGCGATGGAATGGCCGTGGGGTGCGACGCGGACACGGACCCGCGCGGAATCGGCTGTCTCTCTCGCACCCACACGGAACGCGCCATGAGTGCGAGAGAGACAGAGCGACGAGAACGACTCAGGCAGCATCAACGCCACGCCAATCCCTCCCCTCCTCCGAGACCCCCGAGCAGGGCGCCACGCGCAGCCATGCATCTGTCTCTGTCACACTCCCAGCGAGCCTGTTCCTAGGGTCCGTGCTCCTCCAACAGTGGGCCGGAAGACCGGCGGAGGCGGCCCAAATCCCGGACGCGTTTTGAGCTCCAGAGTCGCTAAATGGCACTCGAACCGAACGAGTGACCCCACCAATGGATTGCTCTCCGAACGAGGAATCCATTGTAGGGTCACACGTTCGGTTCGAGTCCTATTTAGCGACTCTGGAGCTCAAAACGCGTCTAGAGTTTCGGCCGCCTCCGCCGGTCTGACATTGACTAGTGCTGCCCAGCAATGCCGCCAAGCATAACGGCATGGCTCTGTTGCGTGTCGCCGAATGACTAAGACCCGGGGGGAGGGAAGGGCCGCGCCACGCCACTGCCCACCCTCCGCCACCGCCCGGCCAAGTCGGCTTTTAAAGAGATTAAACTCGCCGGCCCACAAAGGCAGTGCCTGTCTGCCTGACGGTGTACTCGCTGTAGGCGCTACTGATCACCGAGAGGGGGCGGCCTGCCCGTAGGCCTGCCCATAGGCTTGCTTGAGGGCGAGGGAGAGCGCCGCGCGTGCGAGTGAGCGAGCGAGAGCGGCCACACCCTCGCGGTGTTCCAGAAGTGTCGCAATAATCCAGTCGTTAGCGGCGCCGCTGTCCCTCTCGCCGTGAGTGCGAGAGAGAGAGAGAGAGAGAGAGAGAGAGAGAGAGAGAGAGAGAGAGAGAGAGAGAGAGAGACAGCGCGACAAACACCCGGGAGGCAACCCCTATCGTACCGATGATGGGCACGATAGGCAAGGGGGCCGAACGGGAAGGGCGAACTCAGGTGCGCACCGAGCCCGTTTAGCGCAGCGCCCACCAAGCCAGCCCACCTGCGGCCGCCATTAGCCGAGACGGGGTGGCCGATGTGGTGGGCGGGCCGGGCCGGGCCACCACCCCGCAGTGGGCCAAAATTCTAGACGCGTTTTGAGCTCCAGAGTCGCTAAATGGGACTCGAACCGAGCGTGTGACCCCACCAATGGATTGCTCTCCAAACAAGCATCCATTGGTGGGGTCACACGTTCGGTTCGAGTCCCGTTTAGCGACTCTGGAGGTCAAAACGCGTCTTGGCCGCCTCCACCGGCCCTCTGAGCCCCACCCGGCGGGCGTGTGCCCCGACTCGGAGGAGCCCTTCCTTATCGATGCCGCCTCGGAGCCGCGTTCTAGCCAGCCTGGGTGGCCTAGGGCCGCCGGCGGGGAAGATCTAGCAGGGGCCCGCCGCGACACATGCGCGCACGTAAACACACACACACGCACACACACACTCGAGCGGCACGGCCGGCACGGCGCGGCCCCCTGTCCTTGCGGGCAGAAAGCAAATATTATCTCCCCTTGGTGGACGGTGCGGACGGTGCGGATGGGACTGGGCGGCCGGCGGGCCGTGCCGTGGAAAAGACGGTCGCAAGGAGACGCTTGGGCCCACTTCGGACCGCCTCGGCCCGCCTCGGCCCGCTGGCCGGCCGGTCAGGGGCGCAAGAGCCGCGCGGAGCCCCCCACCCCCCACCCCCCACCCCCACCCGGAGCGACCGACAAAAGTTGCAATGTCAAGAGTCCCATATCTCGTGGACGGCGAGGGCTGCGCACCCGACGCCTACGACAACAGTGGACCGGCGGAGGCGGCCGAAACCCCGGACGCGTTTTGAGCTCCAGAGTCGCTAAACGCGGGACTCGAACCGAACGTGTGACCCCACCAATGGCTTCCTCGTTCGGAGAACAATCCATTGGTGGGGTCGCACGTTGGTTACGAGTCCCATTTAGTGACTCTGGAGCTCAAAACGCGTCTGGAGTTTTGGCCGCCTCCACCGTGATCGATTGCATTGCATGCAACTCGCACTCACCCGAGTTGGAGCCCTCGTTGCTGTGGTGGTTGAGGGTGTTGTTGTTGTTGGCGGTGGTGCTGTTGTTGTTGCTCTCCGGGTGCGGCTTGGTGTCCATGTGCTCGTGGTCCTCCTTGCAGAACAGCCCGTCGTCCCGCAGCGCGAACTCGTCCCCCGGGATGAGCTGGCGCTCGCAGGCCGTGCACCGGAAGCACTCGATGTGGTAGATCTTCGTCTTGGCCCGCATCACGAAGTCGTTCTTGCTAAAGGACAGCCCGCACTTGTCGCACTTGGTGCCAAACAGTCTGCAACACAAACCATTCCCCTTAGATTAGACCGAAAAACAAAACATTTGAGCCAATTCGAGTAGGACCAACTTTCAGTACAGTGTGACTTGCTGTCAAAATTCTCAATTCTGAACCGCTTTTCGGACACTCGGCGTAATTTACTCGGCGCGCTCCCAATGCCTGCCTCGGCGGGACTACACTGCTATGAGCCCTGACGGAGTTGCCGCGCGCCATCTCACTCCAACTTGCAAACGGCCCTGCCATCCTACGGGGAGAAAGAGGATGAAAAATTGCGCCTCCAACTTTTACTCTCATTTTGCGTCAAGCCTCGGTCGATTTCATGATAACGCCTCTACGTATGTGAATGTGTGCGTGTGTGTGTGTGTGTCTAAGGGGGAAGGGGAGGGGGAGGGTGACTGGCAGGCAGACACCGCAGCACCGCGGCTGCAAACTTTAACAGAATAATTAAATAACTTATTTTCCGTTCCGCCGCGAAGGTGGGAGGGTGACGAGGCTCAGCTCGGCTCACCCCCTCCGCGATTCGGGCTAAACTTGGGCTTGAATGTGGCCACAAGACGCCCCTTATTAGCCCGTCTTGTTTACGAGACGTTGGGGACCCCCCTGTGGGGACCCCCCTGCGGGGCCCCGACCCCTCGACCCGCGGGGCCCCACGGGGACCCTTGGAACAGTTACGGGACGACGTCACGAGGATGCAACCACCTCGCGTGTCTCACTCGCACCTGCACGGGGCGCGCCGTGAGTGCGAGAGAGACAGAGCGACGAAAGCACTGCCTGCTCGGCCATTCAGAACGTTTAAATCGGAACGAGAGGCCGGCACGCGTCGCCCCGGCCAGGCTCGGGCTGGCCAGGGCAGACAGGCAGAAAAATCTGCCGGGCCTTCGGGTTTGGGACCACTAACGTCACAAAGTTGGTCAAAGAGTGACTGAATCTCCTAAAGTAGCCGTTTTCGCTGATTTTGGGCGGCCACTGCGTCCGGTCTAGTTGCGGCCAACGGCCTACCTCGACGCCCTAGTATTCTTAAGACCCTACTCTTTCATGCCCTACATCGGGAAGACGTTGACCACAACGATTTTGGCTTTGACCGCAACGATTTTCCGACCAAGTTGGTCAAAAAGTGGTCGAATCTCGGAAATTTGTTGATTTTGCTGACTTTGGGTGGCTACTGTGTCCAATCTAGTCACCCTAAAAGGCCTACCTCGACGCCCTAGTATTCTTAAGACCCTACTCTTTCATGCCCTGTATCGGGAAGACGTTGACCACAACGATTTTGGCTTTGACCGCAACGATTTTCCGACCAAGTTGGTCAAAAAGTGGTCGAATCTCGGAAATTTGTTGATTTTGCCGACTTTGGGCGGCCACTGCGTCCAATGTAGTTGCCGTAAAAGGCTTCCCTCGATGCCCTAGTATTCTAAAGACCCTACTCTTTCATGCCCTGTATCGGGAAGGCTATTGACCGCAACTAGTTTGGGAGCGGTAGCCTCACAAAGTTGGTCATGAAGGGTAAAAACATAATGATGATCGGGGGCCTTTTGAGAACTGCCAGTTTTGCAGCAAGTTTGGCGTAAGCGAAAGTTTGCAAACAAAAAATACGGAAACAGGGAGCGTCAAAAATAAAGCTCCCATCCCAGTGCAATCTGAAGCCACATTACATTGTGAAAGGGTGTCTAAATGGAAGCCAGCGCGAGGAGGCCGCTCTGTTGGCTCCCTTCCTTCGGCCCTTCGCCGCTCCGAGGCGCAGGGCGAGGCGCAGGGCGAGGCGCAGGGCGCAAAGGGCGGCCACGGTATTGGTGGAGCGGAGGAACAAATATGGAAACAGACGGACGGGCAGACGGACAGACAGACAGACGGACAGACAGACAGAGAAGGGGCCGTCGCGCTATCGACCACTCGAGGCGTGGGGCGGTGCCGTTGGGTGGCGGGGCGTAGTGGGGGCGCCGCGCCCCGCCCCGCCTCGCCCCGCCCCGCCCCGCCCCGCCACGCCCCGGGCAGGCATAACGAGCCTTCCCCTTTAAGTATGGCCGAAGTGACACTCCCCCACCCCCTGATAGGTCCCGCAGGGGGTGGCCCGGGCACTGCACGGCATACTGCCGGCACTGCCCGGCACCCCAAAACAGACAAACCGCCATGAAAAATTCAGCCGCCGATAATATTTCGGGATGATTTAGGGAGGGGAGGGTCTGGAGGCCCTGGAGCACCCCAACGAGGGGGAGCGGCATAGTCTTCACTTCAGCCAGAATCAATTAGCCCCCGCAAAGCGCGCAAAGCGCGCAAAGCGACCAACAACTGGATGAGAAATTCATCGTTGAGATTTCGTGATTTCTCGTACAGTACGGTGGCATCCCTGAAGGAGCACAGCACCACAGAGACTTGAATTTTTGACACTTTTTCAGCTGAGACAGTTTGTGACTCCCACCGGGCCCAAAGCGCCGATTTGGTAAGTAGCTGATCCTTTGGCTGGGCAGGGCACGGGCGGGCCCTCGTCGCCCTGTCTCTCTCGCGCCCCTCCGCGACGCGCCACGAGTGCGAGAGAGACAGAGCGGCGCTCTGTGTGCGCACGGCCTTACCGTGGGACCCAAACATCCTCGAGGACACCTCAAACCTCCGTCCCCGCCAACCCCGATAGCAAAGACGAATAAAAAAAGAATAAAAGCAAACTTCCCGGCGGCGCGCATTTTTTTAAAAGAGAGCCTCACGCACACACAGGTCGAGCCAGTGCTTACACATGTTATACTATCGCAATTTTACTCCCGCAAAGGAGCACCGTAAAAAAATACATCTCGACATAATGGGAGCAGTCCACTCCGGCTTATCACGGCAAAAGCGCGCCAAGATGAAATCTACTCAAAAATAACAACAATTCTGGCGCCGCGCTCGGCGCGCTCGCAGCGCCGGAAACGGCGTGGTGCCGCGCGAGCGAATTAGATTTGCAAATGGCGCGGTCGCATCTCCTCCGAACCGAAGCCGGGCAGACGGGGCAGGCAGCCACTTAGCAGAGGACAGTAACCCCCACAGCCTTCGTCCTTCGACTGGCCTGGCGCCCCACTGTCAAAATTGGGCTTTGTCACCTCATGCCGATTTCAAGGCTCGTCTCGCGCGCAAAGAATGCCATCAAACCAGTTTATGGCATAATTGTCGCGCCCATGCAATGGCGTAGTGAGTGCCATAGGAGCAATTTATTGCCTTCATTTTCAAATGATGAAAATGTCATCGACGATGTTGTCATAAACAAACAACAAACAGTGGAGGCGGCCAAAACTCTAGGCGCGTTTTGAGCTCCAGAGTCGCTGAACAGGACTCGAATCGAACGTGTGACCCCACCAATGGATTGCTCTCCAAACGAGGAATCCATTGGTGGGGTCACTTGTTCGGTTCACGTCCTGTTTAGCGCCTCTGGAGCTCAAAACGCGTCTAGAATTTTGTCCACCTCCACCGGTCTTCTGGCCCACTGTGCATTCCCATCAGCCTCAACGCTGAGCGGTCTGGACTCACCTCACGTAATCTCTCTTGCAGTAGGTCTTGCCGTCCCGGACGAAGCACGTGCAGTTCTCGTCGAGGAAGACCTGGCACTCGGTGCAGCGCAGGCAGGCCGCGTGCCACTCCAAGTCGGGCGCTACTCGAAGGATGAACTGGTCGTGGATGCCCGCGCCGCAGCCCACGCACAGGGACATGCGCCGCTTCTCTGGAAAACAGCAAGGGACTCGGTCAAAATTCACTCCCCTGCGCACCGTCGGCCAGAAGACCGGTGCAGGCGGACAAAAATACTAGACGCGTTTTGAGCTCCAGAGTCGCTAAATGGGCCTCGAACCGAACGTGTGACCCCACCAATGGATTGCTCTCCGAACGAGGAATCCATTGGTGGGGTCACACGTTCGGTTCGCGTCTCATTTAGCAACTCTGGAGCTCAAAACGCGTCTAGAGTTTTGGCCGCCCACAGGTCTTCCGGCCCACTGTGCTGTCTGTCAGACGAAACACATGAGAACAGTCAAAATTTCATCCCCCTTCAGTCTGCGTCAAAACTGCAACTATGCTGTCATGAACCTGTTGAAACGGCATCTGCCAAGAGCGCGGATCAAGGCAGGCACTGGCAGGTGAGGTAACGCGACACGACACTATAAACAACGTCGCCTTGATCCGCCTCGGGAGACATTCCCAGAGGTACTTCGCCAGGCAAATGTTGTCAACAGGCCAACTCGTCCCTCAAGGGTTGTAAACGGCGTTTACTGCCGTGCGATATTCTCGATCTATAATGGACGTGGGATGGGGAAAGGGCCGCAGGGATTCTGAATTTCGCGCCACCGGGCAAAGGACTTACAGTGCACCAGCCTTTCCAGCCAAGGCGACACTTGAAACTAGACTCTCCCAAAAGGCACTCGCTCCGCTTGCTTCTGCGTTTTGGTACAAGCACTCCCGCCAATAAAACCTGCAGGACGAGGGCTCAGGCCACCGCCACTTGCAGCTATCAGGTGTCAAATAAACAGCTTTCCATTTCAATAAGGCCAGTGCTGCAAATCAAACGCCGAGGATCAGGGGCGTCCAGGGCATGGCAAGAGTAGTGCAACCGGGACGGCTGGACGGTTGGAACACGCCGGGAGCCCTTTTGGGACCCGAAGAGGCTTTTGGCAATCTCCTAAAACGTGCTGTAGTCCGCAAAAAGCGTCCCGTTCCGTTCACGCCCACACTGTCGGTCAGTTTGAGCAGGGGGAGGGGGTTCTGATAAGATATATAAAAAATAGGTGCAGCCCGACGGTCTGGCAGGGCACCGCTCAGTCTCTCTCGCACAACGGCACGTGAAGGCGCAACACAGACAGCCCGCGGAGACGCAAGTCATGATGTCGATTCGCAATCAGCCAACGGCCCTCGTCCGCGAACCGCCCGGCCAGTTTGGGACGGCCTCAAGACACCGCCGGCCGCGGGCTAGCCGGGCTGGCCTAGACGTGGAAGGGGGAGGGGAGGAGGGACAAATCTGGTTGGAGCAAACACACGGCGTGTCAACAGCGATAGCGGTGCCTTTGACGCGACGCGCGACGACGCCCATAATCAAGACTGACCACGGGGTCTTCACAGATTTCCGATAACGCGCGTGAATCGGCGCGGATCGGCGGCGTGCTCAAAGGACGCAGTCGACGCCGTCAGAGGACGCCGTCGGAGGACGCCGTCAGAGGACGCCGTCAGAGGGACGCCGTCAGAGGACGCCGTCAGAGGACGCCGTCAGAGGACGCCGCCAGAGGACAAAGATGCCCCAGCAGTCGATGACGACACACCTTGATAAATCGCGCATCGGTCGATTCGCGGACGCAATCTCTTGCATATTGGCACAAGTGCGACATTTCTCTTTTTTTCCAGGTCGCCGATGCTCAAGGCCACCGCGTTGGCGCGGCGCAGCGTGGCGCTCCGTGGCGCTCCGCACTAGAAGGGCGCTGAGGCCGTTTAGTGCCCCGCGGAGTCCCCCACCCCCTCCCCCCAACGCGTCCCGGGGGCCACCCAGCCCAGCGCAGCACAGCCAGCGAAGCCGGTGAAGCCAGCGCGGCCCAGCGCCCACAGTTCATTGGTCGATGGGGGACCAGCCTCGACCGCCACGCCCCGCCACGCCCCGCCACGCCCCGCCACGCCCCGCCACGCCCCGCCCCGCCCCGCCACGCCCCTCCCTCGGCGCGGTGGTTGCGGCTGCCTGGCTGCCGAATCCATATGATAATGCCCCTCTCCCCGCGGTGCCCGCCGCGCCGTACACATTCCGACGACTGACTGGCTGGCCGGCGGCCCAGCCGGTCCCGTCCCGCACTGTCCGACAGCGTGTGCTACGCAGTGCCACGCAGTGCTAGTACACCCGCGGAGACAGAGCCTGCACCTGTGCGCCGACTTCTAGTTTCGTTTCGGTCCACCAAGGCTGAGGCAGTGGAAGCACGTGCGCGTTTCAAATGGGAATCCCATCGATTTGGCTTTGAATCGTTAGGAAATCGACTGTGAAGCGGATGGAACCTCGACTTTCGATGTCAAGTTGCCACTCTCGCGGGGCGCACGGCGGCGCACGGCGGCACAGCGCACAGTGTACCGAGACAAGGTGGCGGCGCGGCGCGCTCTCAAAGGGCTCGCCGGCCGATTCGCTCCGTCTCTCTCTCGCTCTCTCGGCGCGAACCGCCGCGGCCCGCCCAGGTGCGAGAGAGACGGCTGACCGCGGCGCCGCGCGCGGAGTGGCGCACAGAGCGCATGACACTGCAGTGTCTCGCCCGCATTACACTGTATGAGTCATCGCACTGGAGTCGCCAAGACCGGTGGAGGCGGCCAAAACTCTAGACGCGTTTTGAGCTCCAGAGTCGCTAAGCAGGACTCGAACCGAACGTGTGACCCCACCAATGGATTCCTCGTTCGGAGAGCAATCAATTGGTGGGGTCACACGTTCGGTTCGAGTCCCATTTAGCGACTCTGGAGCTCAAAACGCGTTTAGAGTATTGACCACCCACCGGACCTCTGGCCCACTGTGGACGGCAAGCCAGGCGAAGCTTGTCCCGCAGTAGGCAACTCGGACTTCCCCCGCCAAAAGGCCGAAAGGCCAAAAGGACGCAGACACACCGCAAAGAGAGCAAAACGTGTTCCCCTTCTCCTTCTTCTTCTTTTTTTCGGCCGCCAGTCAACCCGGCTCCATTTATTGGCGTCGCTGGCACGCAGGAAACCGCCGCCCCGCCCCACCCCGCCCCACCCCGCCCCGCCAGGGCGCCATGGGGCTCAAGTGGACACCGTGCGCCGAGGCGCCGACATTGTCAAATAATCTTCGTCGAGGGGGAAATCAGAAAAAAATACACACACACACACATGGGGAGTCTCGCGACCAAAATTAATCTCCCGACTAATTCCGGAGCAATGTTGGAGCGAGAGAAGTGATTCACGCAGTGGCGCCACCTCCCCGGCGGCGTGTCGCGGCGCTGCGCTCTGTCTCCCTCGCACTCACGGGGCGTGAGCGCACGGACGCACGGGTGCGAGAGAGACAGCGCGATCATTTCCAAGGGCCCTATAGGCCGCCCTTCGGCTGCTGTTGCTCTGTCTCCGTCCTTCCGACTGAATAAAACTTTCATGTATTCGGTCGTCCGCCGCGGCCGGCGCGGCGCCCCTCCCGATACCGCGCCGTCCCGCCGCGCCCATGGACTGCCGGGCCACTAAACGCCCCCCTCCCCCTTCCCCGCACAGGGGCCCAGAGCAGTTTTATTGGTCTATTAGGAGAGCTTTACATGACCTCCGGGAGGGTCGATCGCCGTCGCCGCCCGTCGGGCAGAGCTTGTAGCGCAGCAGCGCGTCGCGGTCCAGGTTCGCGGCCCCGGCCGCCAGGGCACAGAGGGCCGGAGGCGGCCAAACTCTCGACGCGTTTTGAGCTCCAGAGTCGCTAAATGGCACTCGAACCGAACGTGTGACCCCACCAATGGATTCCTCGTTCGGAGAGCAATCCATTGGTGGGGTCACACGTTCGGTTCGAGTCCCGCTTAGCGACTCTGGAGCTCAAAACGCGTTGGAAGTCGGCCACTCGGACTGTTCAAATCCAGGCCGCGGCCATTTTGGATCGGCGAGGCCCTGAGCCACTGCGCTGGCGCGCTGGCGAAGGGCTCCTAATATATTCATATTCGATTACGTGTCATCATGGCGGTGTGAATGACGGGGCCCGCCCCGCCGCCTCTCGAGGTGGCCGACGACCAGGACGCCTTCCCGTCGATATCTCGAATCGAATATCGACCTCGCGAGGTCCTTCCCCTCCCTCCCCCTCTCTCTCTCAGCTCGCCGCGCTTTCCACACCGGCTAATAATTGTTCCAAATAATTAAGGACGCTGGTCGCACGCCCCATTTATTCCACGGGACAATAGGAATCGAAACGGTTAAATAAAAAAATAAAAAAATGGCAAAGCAGCTCAGCAGTGACGCTTAACGTTGCCCGATTTTGGATTGGAAACTAAAATTTTGGATATTACGTAGTACAAACAGTGCACTGCTGAAATAGCAGAATCAAAAAGACGAACGCCTGAAAGGTTTGCGGATCAGTTACACTGTAGTGCGTTTCACTTGGCACGAACGGCGGATGGAAAACGGGACGACGTTTTTCGCCGGTTCGATTCCGCGATTTCAGCAGTGTGCACACAAGGCAGGAAGAAGGTTCAACTCACCGGGCCAATTGTCGGACAGGCACAAGGTCACGTCCTTACCTGGAACAGAGAGAGCAATTTTACTGCGTTGCCACGCGTTGCGTCGCCGGCGAGGGGCACAGTGGGCCAGAATACCGGTGGAGGCGGCCGTCCGGCTCCACCGGCCTTCTGGCCCACTGTGAGGCCAAGGCGCCGCCCTCTCGACGCTTCTTTACGGCCGAGCGTGCAGAAATGCTGCCCGCGCCGCCGATGTCAATATGCCGTTACATCGCGCATAAAATTTTCAAACAGAGCGCCGCCGCCGTCCGGGGTTCAAATACTGGCTTTTGCATACCATATTTTTCCTTTCTTTTGTGTGCCCACTGCACTTCCTGAAAGAGTCGAGGCCGCCTTGACGTGGAGAAGAGTCGGGTACCTTCGGGTACCTTCGGGTACCTTCGGGTACCTTCGGGTACCTTCGGGTACCTTCGGGCGGCCTCGGGTCGCGCTCGGGATCGCTTCGGGTGGCATCAACACTCGTATTTAATGAGGTATCATTTGCCAGCGCACATCGCGACAACATTCCTCGCTCCATTCAGACTCTTTTCGAATCCGGCTCTATGTATAGCAGGCGCACAGGGATAAAAGACAAGACCAACAACAACAACCAAAGGCAAGGCCCCCAGGCCTCAAAGTCGCCCCAGCCGAAGTTTTCACATAAAAGATTAAAATCTCCATGTCGTCGTGTCGTTTTATTCCCGCTTCGGCCCTTTCTTGGCGCCGCCGCGACGCGTGCTGCGCGTCCGGAGAGATCTCGAAAAGCTCTCGAAGGGATCTCGAAGGGATCTCGAAGGGATCTCGAAGGGATCTCGAAGGGATCTCGAAGGGATCTCGAAGGGATCTCGAAGGGATCTCGAAGGGATCTCGAAGGGATCTCGAAGGGATCTCGAAGGGATCTCGAAGAGCTCTCGAAGGCATCTCGAAGAACTACCGAAGGGCACGACCCGAGGGGATAACGGTTTCAAATAATTTTGTGCAACATTTTAAAAGGCACTTCCCGTCACATTTCACACCTTGACTTTTTCAAACAGTTTTATTAGACGTTTCAAATTTCATCATTTTTCGTCATTTTGCAATTTATTGACGACAGTTAAAAGTTGATTTTCTTTTTCTTGTAGTTTTTATTAAATTTTTGGGAGGTGTTTTTTTTTGTTCTTTTTTTTTTCCTGAGGCGGTTGTTGGCTTGCCCGCAGGAGAGTTCGGGACGGTCAAGTCAGAGATTCGATGCCGCTCCACTTGAAGCGCTCTTTTGGCCCCGACTGTACGGCGCCAGGCGGCGGCGCGGCCGGGAGGACACCACCACCGGGCCCCGCCACAGCCCCGCCCGACGGTCGCCCGCTGGAGAGACTGGAGGAGAGGTGTGAGTCCAAGTGGTCGCCGAGCGATCCGGCTACTTATCAAGGCACCGGAATGACAAGAAAACCAAACACTCCTTCCGTTCGGCCGTTCGGCTCCGTTTGTTCGTGACGGAGTTTGGCGGCGGGGACAGACAGCGCTTGCCGACGCGACCTGCGTTCAGGTCTCCGAACAAGGCGGCGTCGCGGCGCAGGCGGTCAAAACCCCGAACGCGTTTTGAGCTCCAGAGTCGCTAAATGGGACTCGAACCGAACGTGTGACCCCACCAATGGATTGCTCTCCGAACGAGGAATCCATTGGTGGGGTCACACGTTCGGTTCGAGGGCGGCCGACGGAAGCCAAAACGCTGGCGCCAGTTTGGCCACGCCGTAATTAGGGCCCGGTCCAGCTGCCCAGCCTTGGCGACCAAGGCTGGACCGGGCCGGGCCGCCTCCCTGACGCAGCGAGAACAAATGTGACACGCGGGAGCCGCGCCGAGCGGGGCAGGGCGGGGCGGGCCGGACTTTGATAATGAGCCAGATTGTGTAATGAGGGCGATCAATCGACGGCGAACACGGAGATCTCGATGTTTCAATTTAATCAGCGACCGGGCGACAGGCGGCGGCGTCTCTCGGCCCTCTGTCTGTCTGTCTGTCTGTCTGTCTAACTGTGCGTGTGCAAGGGGAGCGCCGGGAAGGGGGGGGGGGCACAGGATATGTAAATGCTCGGCTACACACGCCGTCTGCAGCCAACTTCTAGAAAAGCCCGCGCTGGGCGGCGCCCTGACTCGCCAAACCAACGCAACAGACAAACGGACCGCGGCAAACTCATTTCGGCGGCGAGGAGGCGCAACGAAGAAAGGGGATAAAAAAATGTAAATAAGGGAGTGAACCGAAAGACAGCGGCGGCGCGGCCGAACAGGACAAAAGGCAAACACGGAACAAAAACAACAACAAAATGATCAACAACAAAAACAACAACAACATCGAGACGGCGTGAGTAAGGTGTGGCGACGCGGGCAAGGTGTGACCCGGCGGCACCCGGCGCCGGGGAGGGGGAGGGGGGGAGGGGGGCAGTGACATCGTCTCAACCTGTGGAGCCAGGCAAGCCAGGCGCCAGGGACTGGACCCAAAGGCTGGAGGCCCGCCGCCAGGCGACGCACGCACACGCACGCACGCACACGCACACACACGCACGCACACACACACACACACACACACACACACACACACACACACACACACACACACACACACACACACACACCCTTAGCGCATCGCCCAGTAAAGCCGTCCATCCATTCTGCACGTGCACGGCCAAAATTATTCCGCGCTAAGCACTGTTCTTAAAAATTTTCTGTATTTTTTTTTTTGTATTTTACTTTATTTTTTGGACATGAATCTATGTTTACTGTTTATTCGTTTTTGCGCTTCTCTGCAGAAACACTCGGTTCTCCCTCGATTCCCCCCTCTCTTTTTCCAACGTCATTGGAAATAGGCGTTGATGCAACAGAGGCTGCCGAACACACACAGCCACACGTGGTTAACCGCCCAACTTGTTTACTTACCCCTTCGGTTTATGAACTGCCCCCCACCCCTCCCGGTGCCGCCTCGCGCCGCCGCGCGCCGCCGCGCAGTGACGAGTGTGTGAAGGACTGCTAGACAGCCGAGGCCGCGGCCACGCCAAAAGGGAACTGATTGATGGCCCAGCCAAACCCCGCACAGTGCGCCAGAAGACCGGTGGAGGCGGCCGAAACTCTAAACGCGTTTTGAGCTCCAGAGCCGCTAAATGGGACTCGCATCGAACGTGTGACCCCACCAATGGATTCCTCGTTCGGAGAGCAATCCATTGGCGGGGTCACACGTTCGGTTCGAGTCCCATTTAGCGACTGTGGAGCTCAAAACGCGTCCGGGATTTTGACCGCGTCCGCCGATCTTCTGGCCCACTGTGCGGCGGGGAAAAACTCGCCCTCGCCTCGCCGGGTGGGTGGGGCCCCCGGGCAGGTAACGCACGAGGCCCCACGGCCCCACGGAAGCCCCCTTCTACGCGCATCTGCCTCCGGCCCCGGCCGAGGCCCAGACACCTTCCCGGACCGTCCCGGACATGGTCGCAGTGTCCCCCAAGGTGTCCCGTCCCGGGTTCGAGTCTCGGCCGCGCCGCCGCACTGCCGGTGGTCCGTCCGGGACCGACCGGCCGGGCTGCCGGAACGTCGCTCTGTCTCTCTCGCACCCCTACGGAACGCCCCACGAGTGCGAGAGAGACAGAGCGACGGAACGCGTCTCCGGAGCGGGGCGGCTTAGAGGCGCCCTGACCGGAAGCCGGCAATGTAAGAATTCATTAGTGGAGAGACCCATCAATCCAGCCTAATGAGACCGCTACACGCGAAACAGACCAACACCTTTTCAATCCTCATTTTTTGGATACCGGGTTTCGTTTTTAATTTGCAACGCTCGCCAAATTTTAATTTTAACAAGTTTCAATTTTTGTCTTGTTTGGACCATGTTTTCTGCAGGAAGCTCAACAAGGTTCATTTTCGACCGAAAAATATGCAGTTTTGCCCGATTTCTCCGGATTGCGACATGCGCCTTTCCCATCCATTTGCACGGCTAGCACAATACAGTATTCTATTTTTAATGTTCAGAAAGAGCAAAGATAGGAACCAACAAAAATGACGTCAATTTTTATTTTACCAGCAGCGACTTTTTTGCCGAGTGACTCGCGGTTGGCGGGCCGATCTCCTGGCTGACCAATCAGCAGCCCGCTTTCCCAGGGCGTGACCAGGCGCGACCAGGCCCGACCAGGCGTGACCCCCCGCGGCGCGCAACCTGGCGGAGGGGCAGCGCACAGTGGGCCAGAAGACCGGTGGAGGCGGCCGAAACTCCAGACGCGTTTTGAGCTCCAGAGTCGCTAAATGGGACTCGAACCGAACGTGTGACCCCACCAATAGATTCCTCGGTCGGAGAGCAATCCATTGGTGGGGTCACACGTGTGTCCCATGGAGCGACTCTGGTGCAATTTAAATTTATGCTTCCTGCGAAACAGCCCTTATCCTTTTCCGCAGCGTAGTCATGCTGCCTTCCCGAACACCCACACTTGTCACCTCGTCTCGTCCGTGTCTCGTCCCGGGTCGAATCCCTCGCCTCGGAAATGTGGGTCGGTCTCAAGTTCGCGCTTCTGGGAAGCCAAATAATTCAGGGCCTCCGTCTCCGTCGCACTCGCAGGCCGTCCCGCAGGGCCGCAGGGGTGCGAGAGAGACGGGGCTGCGGCCCGGGGGCGGCTCGGGGGCGGCCCGGGGGCGGGCGTGGCCGGTGACATTTTGTGGACGGCCCCCCGGGGGCGGCCCGGGGGCAGCAGGCCTCGCCAGACACTAACGGGAGCCAAGCCGGACTCGTCCCGAGTAGAGCTGTAAAAGCAGGCGCCACTGCGGCGCAGTGCCTCGCCTCGCCGGGCCTCGCCAGGCATGCCGGCCCGGTGCCTTATCCAGCTACACGCACCCCGCCACCCCCGCGGCCAGCCGGCCCGCCAGCCAGCCAGCCAGCCAGCCAGCCAGCCGGCCAGGTCGCAGCCCACCCTCCAGACGAGCCTCCAGACGCGCCGTTACGACCGCGTGAGATCCTTGTAACAAGCCAACGGGAGAAAAAATAGCGAGAAAGAATGCGTCTGCTCGAGGAGAGACTGATCCGGGAAGCGCTTTCCGAGAGCGACGGTCCGAAACCGGTGGACTCGAATCCGAGTCCGCGGAAGCGCCTTCGCTAATCGAGAGTGATAGTGAGTGTGCGGGACGCGTGCGGCCAGCCGGCTGGGTTCACTGATCGCAGCGTAATCCGGCCGTCGACGGCCAGGTGCTGGCGGTCGACGAGGACCTGCCTGGCTCCACGAGCACCGCGACGACGACCCGGGGCGCCGGGACACCCCGGCCGGACGGACAGGGCGCGGTACGCCTTCCCGGAGGCAGGGACTTGCTGCGCGCGCCTTCGCCGAACGCCTGCCTGGCTACTTGCTGTACTTGCAGTGCGCCAGAGGACCGGCGCAGGCGGCCAAAACTCTAGACGCGTTTTGAGCTCCAGAGTCGCTGAACAGGACTCGAACCGAACGTGTGACCCCACCAATGGATTCCACGTTCGGAGAGCAATCCGTTGGTGGGGTCACACGCTCGGTTCGAGTCCTGCTTAGTGACTCTGGAGCTCAAAACGCGTCTAGAGTTTCGGCCGCCTCCACCGGTCTTCTGGCCCACCGAGGTGCGCCAGCCTGGTGGCGGCGATAAGCAGCTCCTCTCCGAGGGCGTGCACTTGTTGAGCACGCCGGCGTGACGAAGGCCAGACACCCTGCAGCACCCTGCAGCTCGGCGATGTTCCCGGACGAGGACAAGGACGACGAGAGGAGGGCCGTGAGGTGGCGGCGCGTTACAGCAAAATGGTTTGAACCAATAAAATTGAGGCCGCCGTGCCAAAATGCCGATTTACGTTGCGAATCCGGCCCAACGGAGTCCATCCTTTTTTATTCGCGCCCCGACCCGAGACACCCAAGGGCGGCCGTCTCACTGAGCTGTCCAGAGAACACATCACCTAATTCCAAAGTCGACCTGTTTTTGTTTATCTTTTTTTTTCTCCCTGCCGGAGGGATGCGCGTCTGGTCGGAAGATGTCCGGTGGCGGGGAGCCGGCCGGTGTGCCGGGCGTGCAGACTGGCGCCTAGCGACACCCCTCCCCCTCCCCCTCCGACGAGGCGGCCGGGGCGCGCCGCCAGCGCCGCCCGGTCAGCGACGTCTGCGACAACATTCAAGCGTGTGTGCGTGCCACTGCACAGTGGGCCAGAAGACCGGCGGAGGCGGCCAAAAATCTAGACGCGTTTTGAGCTCCAGAGTCGCTAAATGGCACTCGAACCGAACGTGTGACCCCACCAATGGATTGCTCTCCGAACGAGGAATCCATTGGTGGGGGTCACACGTTCTGTTCGAGTCCTGTTAAGCGACTCTGGATCTCAAAACGCGTCTAGAATTTTGGCCGCCTCCGCCGGTCTTCTGGCCCACTGTGTGCCGTGCCAAGCGTGCCCACCACACCCCCAATTTTCGCCTGTAAGCTTAGAACCGTGCGGACGGACGGACTGACGGACAACGTACCGAACGCAGCGAAAGCTTTCCCGGAAGCGCAACTCTCGCCGGGCGCGCCGCGCGTCGTTTTCCGAAAAGATGTCGACCTCTCACTCTTTTTCGAAACGAAAATATTCCAAAAAGGCCGGGTGCGTCTAACACTAAAATTTATTTTGATTCCAAACGGATCGTGGGAGAAAAAATTTTCGGCGGATGTATTGCAGTGCACGCACAGTGCGACTGCCGTCTCAAGCACTCGTAGTAGCACTGCGAACTATCTTGCGAAACGAAACCGTCATGCCGTCACTTTCAGCGGGCACACAAACACACACCAATTTTTTTTTTTAAATATATATTGTTTTTTGAGGACCGCACAAGACACTGCGAAAGAAGTGCGACATAAAAAAGAAGCGATACTGTGCGAGTGGATGATCGGGCGGAATTATTGTTTTGGTTTCCCGATTCGGGACTCGTGCGCGCCACGCCGACGCCACGCCGACGCCACGCGGCACGCCCGGGGGGAGTCATTATAGGGTGGCCACAATTTCGAGCCTGCTGTCCCACCCGGGGTGACCCGGGGGTTGTCAAGGCCGAGCCGCGGAGGATACGGTTGGCAACTCTAGCTCCGGCCCCGGCGTGCCCCGGCGTGCCCCGGCGCCAAGGGCGAGAGAGAGGGTTGGTGGCAACCCTATGTGGGCGGTCGTGGGGTTAGCGAAGGGCCGTGGCGTCTCTCTCGCACCCCTAGGGGACGCCCCGCGAGTGCGACAGAGACGAAACGCTCCTTCGGAATCGCTAATGAAAAACAAATAACCAGCGGCTTCAGCCAATTTGACGCACGCCCGCCAATTTGCGCACCAAACGGTGTCTCCGTCTCTCTCGCACTCTCGGGGCGGCGTGCCCGCGGCGGGGGTGCGAGAGAGACGGAGTTTGCAAGCGGCGGTGACATCAAGAGACGCGTATTTGCACGGTATATCGGGAAACGCAAAGCTCGCAAGGAGGGAAATTAAACAATACAATTAAAAAAGTAATCACTCAGGGCACTGGAGGGAAGGGGAGACGAGAACGAGTTTCTCGTTCTTTTAATTCAAAGATGACGTCGCGGCTCCCGTCAATCCCAACACAATACCAAAAGAACGATTTTATGAAACATTCCCTTTCCTTTATTTACAGATAAAACGCAAAATGGGCGTGGTTGTGTGACTCATCCATCCCATTTCTCGACATCAAAACCCCGAACGCTTCTCGGTACCACTCTAAGTACTGTACTGATTATCCGCGCTGCTTAATTAGAGTCCTACTCGGCAGCCACTACGCTGTGTAGTAAATCCCCAGACCCACGACAGACATCGCCTCGACGCACGCGCGGGACATTACTATTAATAATCAGGATCTTTGCATTCCCTCTTCGAAAAGCTCGGCTACAGCACTGCATAACTAGACGCCGTTGTGCGCGCGTCGAAAACCACACCAGTTTTCAGCACAAGGGAGCGGCGACGCACGCAACAAACTGGTGTGCAGAAACTTTTCGTCAGTCGACTTATTTCGAGGTTATGCTTTCGAGGTTGCTCCACCGCGTCTGTCGTGAATTTGGGCCAAATCTCGAGAGCCTCAATGAATTTCGGTGGACACGTTTTCTTATAGGCTTTGTCTTTTTTTATTTCTCCCGGAGACAAGGCAGGGTGCCCGGCGACGCGGCGGCCCGGCCCCACGGCGCCGAGGCTGGCTGTCCCTCTCTCTCCGTCTGAGGTACCGGCTCCTTGTTTCGGGGACCAGGACATCACATTAGGCGGTACCAGGCACAGTGTCGCTCCGTCTCTGTCGCACTCGTGGGGCGGCGGCAGGGGTGCGAGAGAGAAGCGCGCCGTCTGGGTGGCCGGACAACCAACCCTTGCCCGGGACGTCTGTCAGTCAGTCACGCGGGGTGAAACGGCAGTGCAATTTGAGGCCTTCTCTTGGAATTACAACTGTACGACAAGTAACTCTTCGAGCGGTGTGTGTTCCACGATGACAAGTCAGAGGTGATTGAGAAGAAACCAAGTTGGATGTTGCCCAATTTGCACAGCGTGCCACTCCAACCCTTCCCTGCCGTTTCGGCCCATTCCTGAGTCTTTCGGCGGGGCTTCGGCTGTCTTCGGCGCGGTGTATCAGTCCCTGACGAGCGCCACTCCACTGTTCCGAGACACGGTCCGTTGCACAACGGCACGGCACGCCGACGACGCCGGCCTCGAACTCACCCTGGTGGGGCCGGTCCATCAGCACCTCGGCCTTCACCGGCGAGATCTTGAGGCTCCGCACCGGGCCCAGGTTCACCATGGAGGAGGGCAGGTTTGGCGGGAGCCCCAGCAGAGGGGACACCCGCTCGCAGAAGGGGGCCGACGGCTGGACGGACAGGGTGGCCGTATCGCCGCACCGGGACGCCGTCAGGGACGTCGTGAGGGTCGTCGTCAGGGACCCCGTCAGGGACGGCCTCCTCCGATGGCTCCCCCTCCGCGGATTCCGCAGCTTGAGGCCGGCGTGGAGGCCTCCAGGACCTTCTTGTTGGTTCACTGCACCGCGACGCACCGCAACGCACTGCAACGCACTGCACTACACGACGTGCTCGGGCATACGGCGCGGGGCGACACGGCCGGTGCGTCCGCCACCACAGCTCCACGGCTACTGGGCGCGCGAGCGGCGGCGCCTCGGCAGGCGGCACGCCGTGGTGGGGGTCGAGGGGAGGGCGTGGCCGCGCATAAGGCCAGCCACCCCCTCTCCTCCAACGCCGCTCCCCCTCCCCTCCGTCGCCGCTCGGCCAGCTCGATGGCCACCCCCACCACCGCGGCGGGCGGAGCTGTGCGCAAGCGCCTGCCGGGCCCTGCGCGCCCCACCACGCCCCACGCGCCGCCAAGGAAGGGGTGAGGGTGCTACGCCCCGCGCTACGCCCCGCCACGCTCAGCAGTCAAATGGGGCGGCGAGGCTGGCATGCCGCGTGGAATGTGCGTCCTACCCCTCGCTTGCCTTCCTGCTTCAGTCACTTCCCATTGCACCGTGGGCCAGAAGACCGAAGGAGGCGGCCAAAACTCCAGACGCGTTTTGAGCTCCAGAGTCGCTGAATGGGACTGAAACCGAACCTGTGACCGCACCAATGGATCGCTCTCTGAACGAGGAATTTATTGGTGGTGGTTCGAGTGAGTCCCATTTAGTGACTTAGGAGCCCAAAACGCGTCTAGAGTTTTGACCTCTGGCGCCGGTCTTCTGGCCCACTCTGCGTTGAAGTTTCGTTCCGATCAGGACTATTTTCACGCCCGTGGTCTTCCCTGTCTCCACCCCACTCGAAACGTAAAACTTTCGTAAAATTAGTGCACCGAAGTGCATCGCCAAGTTCGATTCTGAATCACTTTGCCACCGGAGGCGAAGTTTTTTCAACACTCAAACAAATCCCAAATGAAACATTGGAAAAATAAAATGCAGTACGAGAGAGCAGGAGGCATACTACGTGACCCGGAAGGAGTATAAGCCTGGCGAGCGATGTTTCTTATTCAGGGCCTCCTGGACAGGAGGCTCTACTCGAATCGGATTAAGCCATTTCGCGACCAAAGATTCGTAGGCGGAAACTGATTCGATTATTTCACTTTCGCTTTGAAATTGATCGGATTCGATTCCGAACAGTTCACACAAGCTCAGCGTCCGGTCCTTTCATCATTTCGGGTCGGAGAAACGGGTAGGAAGGGTCGCAGAAACGGGTAGGGAGGGTCGCAGAAACGGGTCGGAAGGGTCGCAGAAACGGGTAGGAAAAGTGGCAGAAACGGGTAGGAAAAGCCACGGAAACAGAAAGGGTCGCGGAAACGGGTAGGAAGGGTCGGATCGAGTCAGAAGGACGCGGCAAATTGCTCAACTAGTGTTCCGCAAAGCCACCTGTGTTTCTGGTTTCTGTGTGCGCCCGGCAAACACGCAGTCGACGCGTCCAAAAAGCGAGAGTGCCAAACCGTCGGAGGCAGTCCCCACACCGTGTCCCCACACCGCGGCCGCGACGGGACGCGGTGTGGCCGGGGCCGCCGCCAGACAGTCAGTCAGGCAGCCAGCCCCGCCCGACGGGCGCGCGGCTCGACGGCCGGTGTAAGCGGCGAAGTGTACCCCCCGGCCCAGGGAACCCTCGGGTACAACTCGCCTAGGACCAAGGTACCCGGGGGTACACAACGCCTAGGCTCAATGTACCCCGGGTACCTCAGGCCTGGGGGGTACACTGAGCCTAGGCGAGTTGTACCCCGGGTACAAAAAGCCTAGGCGAGTTGTACCCGGGGTACAAAAAGCCTAGGTGAATTGTATCCTCCCTCATCCGAGGGGAGGATACAACTAGCCTAGGCGAGTTGTACCCCGGGTACAAAAAGCCTAGGCGAGTTGTACCCGGGGTACAAAAAGCCTAGGTGAATTGTATCCTCTCTCGCCGAGGGAGGATGCAACAAGACGAGGGGATTTATATTCTTCCCCGGCAGGATTGTGATGCGTCAATGGTTGGTTTTTAATTGAACCGACGGAAGACTTCTAAAACTGAATTGTCCTACCAATCCTAACCAAACCTAACGGGCTCGTGACAGATCTTACTCTACTCGCGACAGATCTGATTCTCAAAAGAAATCGTACAACCTTTCCTAACCAAACCTAACGGGCTCCCCTTGGATGGAGGAGGATACAATTTGCCTAGGCTTTTTGTACCCCGGGGTACAATTCGCCTAGGCTAGTTGTATCCTCCCCTCGGATGAGGGAGGATACAATTCACCTAGGCTTTTTGTACCCCGGGTACAACTCGCCTAGGCTTTTTGTACCCGGGGTACAACTCGCCTAGGCTCAGTGTACCCCCCAGACCTGAGGTACCCGGGGTACATTGAGCCTAGGCGTTGTGTACCCCCGGGTACCTTGGTCCTAGGCGAGTTGTACCCGAGGGTTCCCTGGGCCGGGGGGTACACTTGTCCGCCGACACCGGCCCTAGGCCCCAGGCGGCCCGCCCGGGCCCGCCCCCCACCACGCGCCGGCCGCGCGGCCTGCCATTGGTGGGCGCGCCGCGGGAGGGGAGGGAGCGGCCGGCAGGGTGGGGCGGGGTGGCCGCGGTGGGCGCTCGCCCGCGCCGCGCCAACGCCGCGCTGCACCGGGCCAGGCCAGGCCGCCACACAGTGGGCCAGAACACCGGTGGAGGCGGTCAAAATCCCGGACGCGTTTTGAGCTCCAGAGTCGCTAAATGGGACTCGAACCGAACGTGTGACCCCACCAATGGATTGCTCTTCGAACAAGGAATCCATTGGTGGGGTCACACGCCCGGTTCGAGTCCCATTTAGCGACTCTGGAGCTCAAAACGCGTCTAGAGTTTTGTCCGCCTCCACCGGTCTCCTGGCCCACTGTGGGCCAGGACGCAAGGGCGGGGCGGGGCGGGGCGGGCGGAAGGGGCGACGGACAAAGGGCGCCGTATTCAAAGGAGCTTCCTCGTCAAGTTCAGCCTTCGGCCTCAGGCCTTCTGTCTCCCTCGCGCCCAAAGAGCGCCGTGAGCGCGACAGAGGCAGAGCCGCAGCCGAGACGACTCATCGGAACCAGTGTGCTGGCCCTGCTCAAGTTCGAGAGACAGATAAATCATCCCGGGCCTTGTTTTTGGGTCCGTGAGTTGGTGCGTCTCTCTCGCTCCCCAGCCGTGCGGCGCACGAGTGCGAGAGAGACAGCTACACTGCTTGATTTCAACCAGCAAGATGAAGAACACTGGCACCTGCTCGAGGCATACATTTCCTCGTTGGGGGCACTGCCTGCTACTGCCTAGGCACTGCATGCGCAGATCGTCAAAGGGTTGTTGAGGTCCTCGCGGTTGGGGGAAGCAGGAGGGAAGTAGGCCTACCGCCTTGAGCCTCATTTGCATGAGATATGAGTAGCGGAGATGGATTAGCAGACTCCCCTAATTCACCGCAAGTAAATTGTTAATTGTGACACGGAGTAAACACACGTCGCAAAAGACGAAACCGCTTTTTTTTTTCCGCGACTCGCGGTGGAACCTTGGCGGAGAGCGCGGTTGGTACGTTGAAGCTCTGGCACGGCGGAGCGCTTGTACGGACTGTTGCCAACGTGTTGCTCTTTTGAACGGCACAAAGGAGCCCCGGATCAAAGGGTGTCTCGTCTGTCTCTGTCGCACTCGCGGAGCGCCCCGTAGGGGTGCGAGAGAGACAGGCGACACAACGACCCTTCTGCCTTCGGGTCGCTCGGTTGGCGTAGCGGTGGTAGGGATTTCACACACCACGCCGCCACACAGTGGGCCAGAAGACCGGTGGCGGCGGCCAAACTCTAGACGCGTTTTGAGCCCCAGAGTCGCTAAATGGGACTCGAACCGGGCGCGTGACCCCACCAATGGATTGCTCTCCGAACGAGGAATCCATTGGTGGGGTCACACGTTCGATTCGAGTCCCATTTAGCGACTCTGGAGCTCAAAACGCGTCCGGGGTTTTGACCGCCACCACCGGTCTTCTGGCCCACTGTGCGCCATCTTGAGGATGAGTCGGACCCCTCGCAGGCAGGCAGGCAGGCCGGACAGACCGAGCTGGCGGCTCACAATAAAGCAGAGCGCGGCTCAACACAAGGAGGGAGCACAATGAAAAAAGTTGAGTCCCGTCAGCCATTTTGTACCGGCGAGGTGAGGATGAGGAGGCCCGACGTCCAGCCGATGTCATTATGTTGCCTGGCAGCCGTGCCGTGCCGTGCCGTGCCGTGCCGTGCCGTGCCGCATAGATTTCCATGGTGATATGAAGTAACCATCAAGGTGGTGCAGCGGTGCAGGCAGCTACCCTAAAAAAAAATTATTCAAAAATAGTTTTATTTTTCTCTTATTCCGCACCGTCGGCGGTCGGTCCTACAATGTACTTACAAGGTCGTAGCGCAACCACGCACGGGAGCACCTCTTTTCAACCAAACCGAACCACAAAAAAGGAGAAAACAATATTACATCGTTAACTAATTATATTCCCAACCGCGGGCATGGAATGACCAATCAAAAATGAAGAATATCGATCGTCTAGCCGCGGCAAGCCGAGGGCCCTTTGCTGTATCACTCACACGCACGCAGTTTGGGGCGGGCGACCTGTAAACCGGGGAATGGGGACAAATACGATGAGTCCCATTTCGTATCGCCGCGGCTAATCTAATTCACGGCAGCATGATAAAACTTTATTAACGCTCTCCCTTCCGCACTATCAATCAACCCACCTATCTGGATCTGGTCATGCTAATCACGTTCAAGGGATGGCACCGCCTGCGCGTCGAGCGTGCGTGTCGCGCGGCATCGGCGAATGAACCGAATGCGCAATCGAAGCCGAATCAGGCGTGTGACCCCACCAATGGATTCCTCGTTCGGAGAGCAATCCATTGGTGGGGTCACACGTTCGTTTCGAGTCCCATTTAGCGACTCTGGAGCTCAAAACGCGTCTAGGTTTTTGGCCGCGCTGCTCCGGTCTTCTGGCAAATCCACTGTGTCTTTGCACTGTAGGCCGGCCGAAATGCTTGACTCGCACACAAAGTGCGGCACAATTACCGCAGGCGTGACAAATCACGCGATGGCGTGGGGCGTAACATCGCGACAGGCAGGGCCAGGCAGGGCGTTACGGCGCGCCATCTTTCTCCCTGTTTACGCGTTGTTGTGGCCG